GACACACAAATTTTGCTAGTGACTGAAGAGTGATGACAATGAGATATGTATTTATTAGTTCTGTGTTGTCTATGCGCATTTCAAGCACGCGCAGGAACGAGCCACCGACGCGGACCGCGCGGAACTAGCCACGCCTTTTTCCCCGAGCGTGACCCCTGTAGCTAGCGCTCTAGCGGAAAGACAGGCGACGTCAAAGGGAATTCAGGACAAATGACGTGCTTGGCGGGACAGCGGGACATAGCAGCAAAATCGGTACTGTCCCGCCAGATTCGGGACGGTTGACAGGTATGCTCACGAGTCCATATCATTATTTTTCATCATCTTTTTCTTCTTTAGACCCGATTTCTCCTTACTGGAACAAGTTGATGCGCTATTTTCTCACTAAACGAGCCCCGCGATGCTGGGGGTGTGCATCGTCGTAAAGCTTTCTTGCCGCCTATCGCCAAGACAGATTCCTGGCGGGTACTATAGCAGACAGAAAGCGACGCTATTTTTTCACGCGGTTCTCGAAACCCCAAACCCACTTGTTGATCGCTGCGGCGCGTTAGAGCAGATCGCGTGGTCCTCGACGCGCTCCGTGAGGCCGAATTTGGGCCTAGTTATCCGTCTTGTGGTAAGGAGCTATATACTATTGTGTGTACTTTAGACGTAGCTGCAATCCAGCTCATTGCTTTCTGGGTTCCACGCGACGAATTTTTTCCACGACCGTCCTCCACGAGGCGACATCTCTCCTCCGTGTCTCTCTTGTCCGCATTGCTGCTACTATTGTGCCACGGTCAAAAGTAAGTCTTGCTATTGCGATTACGAACGTATAATTTACTCCAAGGTCTGTACAGCTTGCATGGGTTTCTGGATTTGAGGCCACAGTGAATTTTGTTTCAAGGTAGCTAAACCCTGCAGGTTGTCTGCATTCCCTCATTGCCTATTTTTAATAGGTGTGCCTGACGACTCTCCTCCAGGTTCAACCTTTTGCATCCCCTCGGCCTCTAGCCAGCACTCAGTCGTGGCTGATAACAAGAACCCCACCCTGTTCCTTCAATCGCAAGGCCCTCAACACTGCTCTGCTGTCGTCACTGCCACCAGGGCTTCTCCATCCTTTGAGATAAGTTGCCTTATAGCTTGAAAAGAAAGGTAAACCAGTAAATAAAAAATTCTGAGAATTAAAAAAGTGTGGAATATAGGGATGCCATAAAAAGCAAGGAGACAAGACAGGGATGACCAGGGCATGTGATGCAGAGTACAATGGGATGATTGTTATATACATCTTCAAACTGACATTTCTTGCTCATGTAAATTTTACTCCACACAAGCCCTATATTGTCGCCACTCTTACTCATGACATGAGTTTTGAATAATGTAGTGTGAAGACTGGCAAACGAATTCCGTAGTGAAAGCAGAATTGTCAAACTGGTTAGTTGAGCAAACATTGAAGTAAACACTGTCACGATTCAAATTGAGGAGAGGCATTTGCTACCAGTCTTACATGCATAGGAAACGAGTCATAGCTGCACATCATACCGTAGAGAAATTGGCAGAATTTTTTATTTACTTGTCTCCTTTCCTTTTTTTACGGCATGCACATGCATTGGGGCATAATGTCAATATAAAAGTAACATGTATTTATTGCCTCGGACTGTTAGTCGTCATCTACATTTTAATTTCACTTGAAAAGTATATAAGTGTACAAAGTTATATGAAAAACAGCACTTAATTGCCTGAGGCTGTTTGTTGTTGTTTACAAACTTGTAACTCATGTTTCAATGAACTCTTATCATAGTAAAGCAGTGTACCAAGTTTCATTGTTAGAGGACCCACAATAAGCAAGTTACAGGCACAAACATCATTTACAAGTATTTAATGCCTGAGGCTGTTTATTGTTGTTTACTAACTTGTAATTCCTGTTTTGATGAACTCTTATCATGGAACATCAGTGTACCAAGTTTCATTGTTAGAGGACCCACCATAAGCAAGTTATAGACACAAACATCATTTACAAGTATTCATTGCCTGAGGCTGTTTGTTGTTGTTTACTAACTTGTAATTTCTGTTTCAATCAACTCTCATCATGGTACATCAGTGTACTAAGTTTCATTGTTAGAGGACCCACCATAAGCAAGTTGTATGCACAAACGCATTTTACAAGTTTTTATTGCTCTGGGTGCGTGGTCCATGGCCCTAGTGCTATGGCAGCCACCTGAATATTATTATTACTGCCTGAGGCTGTTTGTTGTTGTTTACAAACTTGGAATGTTTACATATTGATACTAGTGATGGATTGTATATGTGTACAAAGTTTTATCACTCCGGGTATTAGCTTTACCCAGTTAGCACACTCTATTTGTCTCTATAATAATGTATTGCCTGGGTCTATTTGTTGTTGTTTACATGTAAACAAAATTGTTTACGAAGAAATAAAAATGCTCTTGCACGACCTGTCATGGATTCCAATCTTTGTGCAAAGTTTGATCTCCATACTTAACTGGTTTTTGAGATACGCGTGTTGAAACTGAACAACAACAACAACAACAACAAGAAGAAGAAAATTGAAATGTGAATAAATCAAGTACCGATTATGTGATTTAAGCTATTTCTTGGATACATGCTCTTTGTGACGATACAAATTAGTCTGATGTGTCAAAAGTTGGATCTGGAAAGTGAAACCCGAAAATCACAAATGTATGGGCATAATGCAGGACAACCTGTGTCATCCCTATATACTAAGTACTACCGTACTTAGTGATAAAGGCAGTGGCTAGGGGCCTCCTATCATGCTGACCCTGGTAAGAAAAAGGCAGCTGTTAGCCCAGTTGAAGAAAAATATTGCTGATATGGCTGACTATATACAGAGGTAATGCAGACAGAGTGACCTGCTGTGGGAAGGATACCCAGCCATATTCTATAAGGTTATCTGGGAGTTGCTTGGCAGGTGGGGCTCTGAAGTGTTTTCCTGCCCTTATCGCCACTGCTGACTTGTACATTCCTGCACCCTCATCGCACTGCTGACCTAGCCTTTGTTGCACTACCAATTCATATTGTAAGCCTACTCCTTACCCTGTCTGGCTACTCCTCTGTATTATGCTTTGTGTTTCACTTGATGGTGCATACTATGTTGAAAGGGGTTGGACTGCAACTGCGCGTCAAGCTGCACCCTGAACCCTGCAAACTTCTGGCTTCTACTGCCCGCTTGCTACAAGCTATATACCTCTGAGTCGGCCTCCTTCAGCTTCATATATAGACCTCTCCTAAAGAAAAAACAAAGCATATTGTATAACAAATGTTGGGTTAGTTGCGCATGCACCCCCTAGTCTCTCGCGCAAGAATCGCGCAGAAGTGTAAAAATTGCAAACTATATACGTCACGGCCATCGCCCCTGCCCCCACAATGGACTGTGTGCGTGTGTGTGATCATGATCTCTGCAAATCTTCTACAGTGCATAAATCTCCACCCAATGCGTGCGTGAACCCTAATGCAGAACAAGTGAAAAATCAAAATGAAGGGGGATGTAGGGATAGCGTAAATTGTGGAAAAGGATACCAACAAGAAAGATGCTTCAGCTGAAAACGAAAATCATTCACCAATCCCTACATCTTTCTTTACTCACACAACCTTAACTGTGATTTGTTATGAATTAGTATACAATAACGAGTGCCTAGACAGAAATCTGTTTGTCCTGTAAGGCTCAGGTAACATGGCACCACACTGCAACACATTGGTATCCCTTTTCATAATTTACGCCATCCCTACAATGAACATGATTGGATTTGAATAGCTACAGGACAATCATCTGATAGGTTTCTTCATTTTATGATTATTTGACTTAATTTGTCAACCTGTCAGTGTATATAAGTCATGATATGGCTCTTTTTTGATGTTCCTGTCTGCCTCCCCAATAGCGTATTATTATGCTATACTCATTTTACCGTTGCAAATACCACACTGAAAAGCAAAAAGCATGCATTACTGTTGTTCTTGCTACCATTGATGGTGGGCAGAAAATGTTTCAATGTCAAAAGTGTGGGCATGCAAAGTAAGGTTCGCGGAAGTTAACATTATGTTTTCATTTTCACTGTTTTTGAAGCTGCACTACAAAAACAAGGGGCAAGCCTAGTCTAACTAGCTAAGGATTCAGACTACAGCGGCCATGAAACTTATTTTGCAAGGCCTAGTTCTACTCTTAGCAGGTGTGGGATCGAGAGTCAGTTGTGCCAGTGAAGATGCTGCCCAGTGTCCTACTTGGAAGTGGTTCAACCACTCTTCCGGTGTGTGTCAATGTGGTAGTGCAATTTGGGGCACTATAAAGTGCAGTGAGGCGGAGAATAGCTCAGTGTATGCAAGATTTGATGTCTGTGTTTCGTGGGATAGTCACTCACAGACTGTGCTCACAAGTTTGTGTAAGTTTAAGAGAAGCCGCAGTACCTCAGTCACTGATCGAGTCTTCTCTGCATTACCCCAGAGTCCTTCTAATTTATCTTTTGATGAATGTGAGCTAAACAACAGGGAGGGAATATTTTGTGGTGAATGCAAAAAAGGCTTTGCCCCGTCTCTTTACATCTTGAGGGGAATGTGTACCGAGTGCTCAAACTGTCTTCAGAATCCCGCATCCTTGTTTTTGTTCCTTACACTAGAAATACTACCACTGACTCTTTTTTATCTCATTGTAATGGTTTTACATTTAAATATCGTGTCAGGACCAATGCTTGGCTACATCATCTTTTGTCAGATCCATATTAATCTGCTGCATATTCACCCAAACATATGGAGGTTTTTTCTCACAAACTCGGGAAGATATTTGTTCATCTGGAATGTGTATTTATTGCTTCCTCTGGCTGGACTTTGGAACCTAAATTTCTTGGCAATGTTTGCCACTGGTCTCTGTTACAGCTGTTATCTTAATAATCTCTCTATAATTTTTATGGAATACCTGTCACTACTATACATTCTTATACGTTTGGCTCTAAGTTACCTCTTTGGCAGGATTGATGTTAAAAATAAATTTGCATCATGCACATTTTGTAAGTGCATATTGTACTCGTTCATCAGGTGGCGTAAAAGTTTGAATGTGAGTGATTCAGTAATGCATGCCTTTGCTACATTTTCTGCTCTGCTATTTGCCAAAGTTGGTGCCATTTATGTTCAGCTCACTGCTGGCACACAGGTGCACAGCATTAATGGGACCCTGGTGAAATCCGTCTTGAGTTTCGAACCTTCAATTGAGCAATTTAGTAAAAATCACGCTCCTTATGCTGCAGTCACTTTTGTATCACTCTTCTTTTTTGTTCTGATTCCAACCCTGGTACTCTGCCTGCACCCGAGTCGACACTTTCAGAACCTCTTGGCACGTTGTTGTGGGCCGAGAAAGAGACTTGCTCTGGCAATATTTGTGGACACTATTTCCAGTGGATACAGAGATGGACTGGATGGTGGCAGAGACTGGAGGAGACTGTTTCCCTTGACAATGATATCTTTTACAGGCACTGTGGCAATATTTCTTAATTGTTTCCATACTTTACCTGACACCTATTTTCTCATTTTATTTCCATTATTTTTCGCTATACCATTTTCCATATTGTACTTTAAGCCATTTAAAACCAAAGAAATGAACCTGTCCCTAGCATTTCATTTGATTGTTATGGCTCTCACAACACTCACTCTTGCTGCCTGGATGCAGGATTATTTTTTGAACTCGTTGACTTTGGAGGTATTCCTGACTGTCTGTTTGACTCTACCTCATGTTGTTATGCTGCTTTGGTTTTCGAGTAACATCATTCAGCGATGTCAGTCTCTCAAGAAGTGCAACCTGATAGCAAAACAAGTTTCTTTTGGGAGAGCTCAATTCTTACTGCAGGGATACTAAAAATATTGTTAGACTGTATGCATATGTAAGTTGTTTAACTTGATAATGTATCATCTTATAAAATGAGTCTGTGCTTGTTGGTGTGCCAGTCCATAAAATCAAAACAGTGCTCGGATTCCACAATGTGCGCACTGCTGAGCGTCGGTAGAGGCTCTATGTAGGGATGGCACGAGTGAAATCTCACATAATCCGCGTACAAAATGCCTCCAAACTCGGCCAGAATACTGTTAGACTGTATGCATAATGTAAGGTATTATAAGTTTTTGTGTAACTTGATAATGCATCATCTTGTTAAATGAGTCTGTGCTTGTTCGTGTTCCAGTTCCTAAAAAAATATAAGGAGTGTCGATCATTGCTCGGATTTCAATTTGTGCGTAGGCAGCACTGCTCATAATAATTGCATTCGTCTTGTTTCCGTTCGTGTCCACTTCCGCATCTGCGTGCATCCGTGTTTCCACCTTTCCCTAGCATTGTGTAGAGAATTTATAACATCTTGTAGCTAACATAGTTCAAAACTACATAAAACTAAAGGTGATAGTGAATGTCAGTTATTAAACCATAAAGTTCAGTTAGCTGAGAAAGTGAAGACAACTCGGCTAACAAAACGGAACTTCCCAGGATTATCATGATCAGGTCTAATTATAGAGGCTGCACCTTGAGCCTTTCCACTGCCAAGTGTTATTCGTGTCATAAAAGACTCCAAATGTTCCATTATATTATACGGGTCAGGATGAATTGGAATCACAGTTTTGAAGTTGACGATGATTGGGCTCTGACCACCCACCTCAATGTTTGGGAATGGAAAGACTAGAAGGTTCCCTATGTCAACAGATGTTTAGAACAAGTTTGTAGTTAACATCCTCTCGTATCCGAGGTAGGTTCATACGTGATGCATTTCCAGAGACATAGTTGCAACAAAGGATGCAGTGAAGTCAGGACAGAACTTTGACTCGCAACAAGCTGAGCGAATTACTTGGAGGATGAACACAGCTGTTAGAATCTGAAGTACATCGTCAGGTTTTTTCCTGGAAAGCAACAGTAAACCACAGTGTTTGCTAACGATGATGACTCATAATTATGGTAACTATTGTTGGAGAATGACACTTGTCAGACTATAATATAACTGGAAGCTTCTAGAACTTTCTTACAACTACAAGTAGCTTCCTGGACTAATAGTGTTAACATGATATCACTTGCATCACACCTTACTAGGGAGTTCTAGAACAGTCTAACTGTCCACATGCTACCATGTGCCCTTGCTAACATGTGCACATCATTCTAGAACATTCTGTTACAGTATATAAGAGCCGCACCATTTCACCACTTTGTCAGTGTCAGTCACCTGTACTAACTATCATATTCAACTACGGATCTCAACTAGCGAAGTCGCTGCGGCGCAAGCAGTCCTGCTACTCTGCGACAGGTTATGGGCCCAGGTTCACAGACCTGAAAACCAGAATACCCACTGAAGACTCCGAAGGTTCTCTCGATTGAACTGTGCGGCGTCTGTTGGACTCTCGCTAGAGCAATGGCATCCGAATCAAAAACGGTGACAGTTATTCCCTTGAATGGCTCCAATTATCCCACCTGGAAAGTTCAGTGCCGGATGGCTCTGATGAAGGATGGGTTGTGGAGCATTGTGAGCGGTTCTGAACGTCCGCCTGATATCGCCGAAGCAGACAAATACGCGAAGTTTTCGGCAAGAAGGGATCGTGCACTGGCCATTATTGTTTTGTCGGTCGAACCGTCGCTACTTTATCTGATTGGAGACCCAGAAGATCCAATCACTGTTTGGAAGAAGTTGGCTGATCAGTTCCAAAAGAAGACCTGGGCCAACAAGCTGGAGTTACGACGAAAGCTGTATTCATTGCGGCTGAAAGACCGAGACTCCGTTCAAAGGCATGTCAAAGCTATGACGGAGGTTTTCGATGCATTGTCGGTTGTTGGCGATCCAGTTCCGGAGGATGACCGTGTTGTGCACCTGCTAGCCAGCTTACCTGAATCGTATAGCATGTTAGTTACCGCCCTAGAGGCGAATGCTGAAGTGCCCAAGATGGAACTTGTGACTGAGCGTTTGCTGCACGAGGAGCGGAAGCTGAAGGATCGAGAAGGTGCTGATGTGAGCAGTGAGAAAGCAATGACGGCCAAGCAACCGTTCAAGAAAGGCCCAAAGTGCCATCACTGCGGGAAATACGGTCACATCCGACGTAACTGTAGAAAACTTACTCAAGAAAAGAAGTCCGAGTCAAACGAGAATGATAGGACAAGGAGCGTCAAGCACCAAGCTAACACGGCAGCGACAACGCAAGGAGACAGCAGCAGTTCGGACAGTGAGAGCGTCGGATTAGTAGCGCGGCACGCACTGTCAGCAAGTACGGGTCGGCACGATAGCTGGATCGTGGATTCCGGAGCAACCTGCCACATGTGTAATGACAGGAGACTCTTTGTTGAACTACACAACCTGGAGAAACCACTGGAAGTAACCCTTGGAGATGGGTACGATCTGCACGCTATCGGACGTGGAGTTGTGGTGCTGGAAACCAAGTTGCCTAGCGGTAGAACAAAGAAATGCAAGTTACACGATGTGCTGTATGTGCCAAAGCTGTCCTACAATTTACTAAGTGTGTCAAGGACATCCGATGCTGGGAAAACAACCAGATTCGGTGAGACAAGCTGTCAAATTTTGGATGCAAACAGGAAACTTGTTGCGGTGGCGACTAGAGTAGGAGATCTATACTACTTGAGCTGTCGTCCGGGCTCTCAAAAGTCCCACACAGCTGTGGACAAGGGCCCTGAAACAAGAGAGGATGTGTGGCATCGACGCTATGGCCACCTTGGAACGAGGAATCTGCAGAAGTTGGCCAAGCAGGAATTGGTCAATGGATTCGATTATGACGTGGCGAAGGAGATCAATTTCTGTGAGTCATGTGTGGAGGGGAAACACCACCGTCGCCACTTCCCAACCACTGGTGGAAAGCGCTCCAAGGAACCACTCGGTTTGGTGCACAGTGATCTATGCGGAAAGATGACTTCAGAGTCACTGAGCGGAGCTGAATACTTTCTCACCTTCATCGATGACAAGACTCGCTACGTGTGGGTGTATGTCCTGAAACGAAAGGACCAGGTTTTCAAACAGTTTCTAGAGTGGAAAGCTCTTGTGGAGAAATCAACTGGACGTAAACTGAAAGCCCTACGTACTGACAATGGTGGCGAATACACATCAGCAGAATTTGAAGCCTACCTGAGGAAAGAAGGAGTTCGACATGAACTTACAGTACCAAAGACACCAGAGCAGAATGGTGTTGCAGAAAGGATGAATCGAACGCTAGTTGAAACCACGCGGTCCATGCTGGGCTATTCCAAGCTGCCACCCAAGTTCTGGGCAGAAGCCCTCTCAACAGCTGTCTACCTTCGAAACCGAAGTCCTACCAAGGCAGTTGAAGGAATGACACCATTCGAGGCTTGGGTTGGTGAAAAGCCTAATGTTGGACACCTGCGAACCTTTGGGTGTGTTGCGTATGCCCATGTAGCTAAAGATGAGAGGAAGAAGCTTGATGTGAAAGCGAGGAAGTGTGTCTTCCTGGGATACGGCACCGAGACCAAAGGATACCGACTGTATGATCCAAAACGTGCAAAAGTTTTCATTAGTCGAGATGTGGTTTTCAATGAAAAGAAGCATGGAATAGAGAAAGAACCAAACATGGAAGAAGAAAACCGTTACGTACAAATTGAGTGCCTCGGAAATGACGAACAAGCAGATGAAGACACAGGAGAGCCACCTCAACCAACCATTGAAGAGCAACCTGAGCCGGTCTTACGAAGATCAGCAAGGGAGAGACAACCTCCAGACTACTACGGCGTCCGAGTAAACGTTGCAAGTGAAGTCTTGAACGAACCAACATCCATGAGAGAAGCACTAGCCAGCCCAGAAAGAGCAAAGTGGATGGATGCAATGGACAAGGAAATGGATTCACTCCACATGAATGATGTTTGGGACCTTGTGAAACTGCCCAAAGACAGGAAGGCAGTTGGCAGCAAGTGGGTGTTCAAGCTCAAAGTCGGCCCCGATGGCTTAGTTGAGAGACACAAGGCTCGTCTAGTGGCTCAAGGGTTTTCACAGAAACAAGGACTCGACTACGATGAAACATTTTCTCCAGTTGTCAGATTTGAGTCACTCCGTACAGTGATTGCACTGGCAGTGCAGAACAGCCTGAAAATGCACCAGATGGATGTTACAACAGCATTCCTGAATGGTGAGTTGCAAGAAGAGGTCTACATGAAGCAGCCAGAAGGTTTTGTGTGTGAGGGCCAGGAGGACCTGGTCTGTAAGCTAAAACGAAGCATCTATGGCTTGAAGCAATCACCACGCTGCTGGAACTCTGCACTGGATAATAAATTGAAACAAATGGGTTTTGTGCAAGCGAAGGGTGACCCCTGTCTCTACATGGCTTCAGAAGGAGAGATGTTCATCATAGCTGTGTACGTTGATGACATTGTGTTGGCAGGAAAAAGCGATCAACGGTTGGCAGAAGTCAAGCAAGCTCTTGCTAACCAATTCCAGGTGAAGGACATGGGAGAGCTACATTACTTCCTGGGGGTGAAGGTCGTCCAAGACAAGGAATCCGGTGACGTCTGGATCGGACAGCCGGCATATGCCGCTAGTGTCTTGCAAAAATATGGCATGGAGAATGTGAAGACTGTAAACACACCAGTCGACACCAGCACGAAGCTTATGAAAGCAAAAGAAGATGAGGAGTGTGTTGATCAACAACGCTACCAATCAGCTGTTGGAAGCCTCCTCTATCTGTCAAGTTCCACAAGACCAGACATTTCCTACGCAGTGAGCAACGTGGCAAAGTACTCTGCTAACCCAGCAAAACAGCATTGGATAGCTGTGAAACGCATATTCCGTTATCTCAAGGGAACATTGAACCATGGTCTTCTCTACAACAGAGACGAATCAACTGAGTGTGTTGGATTTTCAGATTCAGATTGGGGTGGAGACCTTGACGATCGGAAATCTACGTCTGGGTACCTGTTTCAGCTCGGTGGAACAGCAATCAGCTGGAGAAGCAAAAAGCAAACGTGTGTAGCACTGTCAACAGCAGAGGCCGAGTACATGGCACTGGCAAGTGCAGCACAGGAAGCAATGTGGTTACGTCAACTTACCACTGATCTCAAGAATGAGCCAACGAGTGCAACTGTCATTTTTGAAGACAATCAGTCTGCGATCTGTATTGCGAAAAATCCACAATTCCATGGTCGATCTAAGCATATAGCGATAAAGTACCACTTCATTCGAGATCAAGTCGACAACAACAACGTGGAACTGAGATACTGCAGGACAAATGACATGATAGCCGACATGCTCACGAAGGGACTCAATGGAGAACAGTTTGTGAAACTGAGGCGAATGACTGGAGTTAGAGAAATAATTGATCATTCCGTCTGCAAGTGAGAAGGAGTGTTGGAGAATGACACTTGTCAGACTATAATATAACTGGAAGCTTCTAGAACTTTCTTACAACTACAAGTAGCTTCCTGGACTAATAGTGTTAACATGATATCACTTGCATCACACCTTACTAGGGAGTTCTAGAACAGTCTAACTGTCCACATGCTACCATGTGCCCTTGCTAACATGTGCACATCATTCTAGAACATTCTGTTACAGTATATAAGAGCCGCACCATTTCACCACTTTGTCAGTGTCAGTCACCTGTACTAACTATCATATTCAACTACGGATCTCAACTAGCGAAGTCGCTGCGGCGCAAGCAGTCCTGCTACTCTGCGACAACTATGTACATCCTTTCTGATCTCCGGCGGAATTTGGCACCCCGCAAAGGAAGAATCTTGTAGTGCGCGCAAGAGAACTGATGGCATGTTGGAGATCGTGACCGCGTGCAATAGCTAGCTAGTGCCTCATCGTGGCCGTGTGAAGTGGTAGTCAACTTGAACGTTCGCTATTTGGTAGGTAGCAAATAGCGCCGGGGTGTGTCAGACCGCTTCGAGGACGGCGGACACTGCAGGGCAGTCACTATAATATACGACTACCATCAGCCCCGAAAAAAGCGGCTTGGGGACGACGTCGAACCCGTCAACTTGTAAGTCCGAATGAACTTAGACGAATACCTCGGGCTCACTATAATTATATGCATGGTGTGTTTTATACACTGGGGGAAAGGACCAGTTAGGGGAAGCATAACTAATAATGTTTACGGTAGAATCTTTTCTTTTTATCTTTTATCAGTTGCCAATTATTCACCTTGTGGTGAGAATGTATACTTTGCTGTGGAGTGTGCTAACTCTGTCTGTTTGCATTGCAAACAATTTGCAACAACCAGGTATACTTTCAGTCTTCATGTATAATTATACATCACATGGTCTATTACCTTCATGCTATAATTATTCAGTCTTCATTAGTTCTTAAATCCATTATACTGTACCCCAGTTGTTTTACAATCTAACTGGCTGTGCTTGACAGTCGGGTACAATAGAAGATTGCTGTTCTGGAAATGTTAGCTAGATTAGTCCTTATGACTGAAGTTGTTTGAGATCAACACTACTTCAGTGCATAATGTGTGAGTATCGAGAGCCTCTGAGTTGCAAGACAAACTTGCAACAACTGTAGTGTATGCACTAGAGTGCGCCAGTTGTTTTGGGAAACTGGCTGACCTTCAAACATAATACCCAGAATGAAGCCTGAACGATGCTAATCAGGTAATTAACCCTCGGCGCGCATGCGCAGCGAGGGTTACGGTAGTTGTTTCGTAAGTGTGTCTGTCAGTCTGTCAGTCTGTCTGTTACCACGTTTTCTGCCACCGCGCGCACGAAATCAGGTAAATAGCGATATGATCGGGTTCAGTGCTATATACACTGGGTTGATTTTTAAAAAGGCGATTTTCGTAAAACTACTGGGTTGTAAAGTTATGGCGTGAAAACCAAGTGAACAAGCCAATATGGTAATTAGCACAGGCTTACCTCGACCGCTTCCGCTCGCTCTGTGTATCTTGAAGGCGCAAGAAGTCACAACGAAGGGCATGTATCAACTCCCGCATGCAATCTACTACTGTAGCTAGCCCGTGCCAGACTCTCCGCGAGCTACTAGCGGGATACCACGAGTAAAGAAAAGAAAAGCCCAGCCCATCAATTAGTGGTACAGCGCATGCGCAGTTCCCCGAGGGTTTGCACTTTAGTGCATTTCCACATCAATGGCGTGTTTACTTTTAGTGGAATGATAATTGCCTGAGGCTATATATGTGTACTGACATTTGACTGAAATAAAATGTCATGGGGATGATGTAAGAGTGTAAGAACATGTAGAAAATCAATTATAATACACGGGGATGTAGCTAAGGATGTCATATTATGAAAAAACAAGAAGGAATATCCACACAGAGTGTCATTCATAACCCTATATACCTACTTCTTTGTGTTTCGATCTTTCGCTGGTCGTAAATGCTTATCATTAGTAAACAATCAGCAATCAGTAAATGTCTACATAAGCTGTGAAGGATTGCGCCCGGGCAGTTGGTGCTTGCTGCTTCTTTCTTGATTTTCCTTCGCAAAAATATAACATTGCGAGCAGAGGAAGAGACAGGGTGAAATCAGCAGACATGTAGGCTCGACTAAGTATAAGTGACTACAGAAATAGCAATACTAAAAAAACCTAGCAGGTATATTATAGCTAATAACCAACTCAAAATAAACCCTATGACGATCTAATACTAAGGATACTGTTATACTTTCAGACTTATATTATACATACGTATGTCCTTCTTGTAATTTTTGTGCAGCTTATTGCATGGATGGTGACCTGAGACTGGTGGGAGGAGAGGCAGAATATGAGGGTAGAGTGGAGATCTGTGTCTCTGGGGTGTGGGGCACTGTGTGTGATGACCACTGGGACAAACATGAGGCTCAAGTCGTATGCAACCAACTGGGACTCAATTACACCAGTGAGAGAGATATAGCTGTCTGCATGGCTCCACTCTCTTTGTTGTCATTGAGGCCTACAGCTTCTTGTCTTCAACTCTCTCTTCCTCCCTGCCTCCCGCTTACTCTCCCCCTCCCTCTCTCCAGTTGCAATATCGGTGGGAGAGGCCTACTATGGCAGGGGGTCAGGACCAATCCTCCTGAATTATGTGGCCTGCTCTGGGAGTGAAGAGAGACTGACGGACTGTGACCAAACTTTGTTCTCAATACCTGACTGTGATCACTGGAAAGATGCAGGGGTTTCCTGTCTGCCTGAACAAGAAAGAGGTGCTTACACCAAAACAAAATATCATTCAAGAAGCTCATTTTAATGTAGCTAGTCTGAGTTGTTTTTTTCCCTATGTCAATTATGAGCGTGGGGATGATACTTGTGATCGCCATACTAAAAGCATCCAAAACTTACCCAAATGACCAAGACCTTGACGCAAAGCATGCTCCTGCAGAGAACATTGAGCAAAGAGCTTGTGCCAGCAGTAAGAAGTGTTGACTCTTTTATGCTTTGAAATTTCAAACTGACCAATAATGACATAAAGATAAGTATATTATGTCTAAAGATACTGGGAAATAATCACTTGTCAGACACCTATGGAAGCAAATGCACCACGCAAAACTGGAAACAATAGCAAAATATAATTATTGTTATACTTTCCGACTTATATACATCCTACATAATTATTATTATGTCCTTCTGTAATTTTTGTGCAGCTCATTGCATGGATGGAGACCTGAGACTGGTGGGAGGAGAGGCAGAATATGAGGGTAGAGTGGAGATCTGTGTCTCTGGGGTGTGGGGCACTGTGTGTGATGACCACTGGGACAAACATGAGGCTCAAGTCGTATGCAACCAACTGGGACTCTATGACACCAGTGTGATAATGCACTTCAGTTCAGGTCTCTTAAGTTATGTACTACGTGCGAGGGACAAACTTTTTTTGACTTGTATATACATATATAAAACAAAAAGCAAAACAAACCAAGCACAAAAGCCAAAAGAAAAAGGAAATAAAACAAAACAAAATAGGAAAAACAAAACAAAACAAAAATATATAATATGTATAATAAGGACATGAGCCCACAAAACATGATCTGTACAAAATGTTGATCAAAAGAACTGATATCTTGATTTTCTTTTTCCTCTAGACAGTTTTCTGTGTCTGTTTTGAGCCCATCTCCCTCCTTGCCATGTACGTAGGAACTCACGCCCGCCCACAAACCTCCGCAATTAAAGAGGGTGGGGCTCCACGATCGAGTGAGCGCGACAAACAATGACATAAAGATAAGTTTCCTACATGAAATGCTGTTGAAAAAAAACAAGGTTTCATATCTTGTTTTCATGTTACTTTTGTTAGCTCACAAGGTTCATATGAGAAATCAGGAACCTCGTGCTAACTGGTCGATTCGAATCAGCTATGCATAACACGCAATTGACCAATCAGATTGCTAGTTTAGCGGTAACTAGTTAGACGCTGATTGGAGGTAACTACGCGCAGTAGAAAACCGAGAGCCCCGGCATTGTGGCGCCCCGAGCGCAGCGAGGGCGCTACCCCGGGACACTGCGCGTAGTTACTGCGTCTACGTCTAACTATTGTATATAGAGTGAGCGCTTAACGTTGAGCGCTCTGGCTTTCCTATTCGTATGGCGGAGCGCTTCTAACGATTAATCGATGGAGACAGGCTCAGAGCGCCAGAAAATGCAGCGCAAGGGCGAAGCGGCATCAGAAAATACGCGTGGTAATGACTCCGCCTTCTTTCCCTACACGCATGGTCTGCGCGTGCGCGTGGACGACGCGTCAATGTCGTGTACATTTAGTGTTTTATTTGTAGGTTTTGTAGTTTCTGACATGTAGTAAACCCCGTCGAGGTTTACTACGGGAAATAGTAAACCTCGGCTTTGCAATCTGATTGGTCAATTCGAACATGCGTAGCTCACTCTAATTACCTCTTCCGCCGTAGCTAACTATTCGTAGCCCCGGCAACCACGCCTTCAAAAAGACGCCACGCGTGCGGACGGCAAACCGAGCTTCTGGAGCTGTTGTTCCCACGAAGAAACCAGGAACATGCTCTTCTAGCAGCAGCCGATGACTACTAGAGAGCTAGAAAAGCGTGCCGGGACGCGTGTAAACGGCCGGGCGGCGCGATCCCGAAGGGCAGCAACGCCTACAGGGGACACTGCAGCGGGACGGACTTGCGCTGTAGTAGACGCGTCGCCTTGGGAAACTACATCCTCGGAGCCTTTAGTAGCGCCCTCGCTGCGCTCCGGACGCAGACGGCTCAGGGCCGGCTCCTCGGCTCACTAAATCGCGTAGTTCCCGCGGCTCCGCGTCTAACGTATACAATGAACAGAACAAACAAAACGCAGAAACCAAAAAAATTAATATACAACAATAACAACAAAAACCAAAACCAAAAAAAAACAAAAAATATCTAAAATGATCCCATCAGTCCAAGCTGAGTGAGACGGAAGGCGGCGAGCCCACATAGTAGCATTTCCTCTCCACAAACAGATGGACAAGTGCTAGAATAAAATTAATGTGAAACTGCTTCCACTAGTCTGCCGATTCTGGAGATTTGTAGGGCTGCGTCATAGCTTCAATCCACAGCAAGGGGAACAAACGATACTCCTGCGCCTCTACATTCGGCATTGTGAGCTACCACATTTCTTCCTCTGCCACTTTCAGAGCATACCCCTTCTCGGAAGCAGCTCCTGATAGTGTGAGCGGTTCCATAGTAGAGATAACAGTAACGTCCAAGGCAGCAGGGCGCCCCCTGCACCAGTTGGGGAGAAGTATGTCGGCCGGACGGGATCTGGTGCCTGGGATCAGGGTAGGGACTGCTTTTGGAGGGACCAGTGCTGCGGATTGGGTGGCTGAAAAAAGGGCGTCCCGGATAGCGTCGTGTCGGTGGATTCGGTCCCCATTGCCTCCACAACCCACTTGATGATCACCAAATGGGTCAGCAGCTGCGGATTTGCCACATGCAGAACAGGAGCTGACATCGTCTGCCATTCTGACGCCCAACCAATGTTAGAGACACAGCCGGAACTCTTGGTCTAACAGACAAAGTCCAAGAGCTGGGGATGGAGTGACATTTAGCCAGTCCCCCACATGAGGCAGAGAGGAAGAGAGGGCAAGGGCTCTGGACCGAACATCAGGGGCAGACTCGACTAAGGTGTTAAAACAGACCTCGTCAATTAGACGGGAAAGTGATCTCTGCTGAAGAGGTACATCAATGTCTTCCAAAGAGCACCAGGTTGTCATCCTAGCAGAGTTGGCCAGGGAAGAGATGGCAGAGGGCAGAGCCAGTGGAAGGTTGGGCGTGTAACCAAGAGTTTGGGAGACGAGGTCTAGGGAATTCGCGATAGAGCTGACGTAAGCAGCAGGGGATGGAGAGCAGCAGACCGAAGGTTCAGCCCCCCAAGTGAGCAGGGAAGGTTTGCCTTCAACCAGGCCCAGTCTGCCAGGGGGCCTCCCGTGATATCCTCTATGGCTTCCCGCACTGCAGCATCAAATACATACAGATGTAGCCCTCTGGATGACCGAAGGAGGACAAGTGCGGAGGGCGAAATTGAGTTTTGGGAGAGAAAGACAGGATTTCAGAAGAGTGGTCTGCAATTGGGAGTCTTCAAGGTCCCCCAATCTTCCAAGAGCATTCTGGATCTTCCCAACCCTGTCAAGTACCAAGGATTCACGGAAACAACGTGCACCAAGGGGGGCGCCAAGGAGACAGAAGCTGGAGCGGGTGACAGGGATGTCGTGAGGGAGGGGGTTATTGCCTAGATCATCCCCCGGGGGAATGTAAAGGAGAGACTTCTGACGATTTAGATGAAGACCCCTGGGGGGACCTTCTTCCTCGATGATCTTTAGAGCTGCGTCAAGGTCTTGTGGGGTGCCACACAGAGTTCCGTCATCCAGGTACCAGACGTTGCAAACAAGACTGGGTACCTCCCTCTTGATTCTCTCGACGATCGGTTGAAGAGTGAGAGCGAAACACAGGGGGCCTAGGGGGTCTCCTTGCTGAACCCCACAACAATTGACAAATCAGATTCAGAGTTTTAGTTACCTCTTCCGCGGTGACTATTTCGCGGCCCTGCGGACTTTTCAAACGCGTATTGGTCATGGCAACCACGCCTTCAATACGAGAGAAGCCGTGCGTGCGGAAGGCAAACGGAGCTTCTGGGGAGGTTCTTTCTCACGAATAACCAGGTACTCGGTCTTCTAGTAGGAAGCGGTACATGACTACAGGGTCCTAGCTACAGCTCGAGCCAGACGCGCACGCTAGTGCGAGAAGCGCCCAGCGGCCCGCCTACTTTCGCGTTAGCGTGCCGCGCCGCCTACTCTCTACTGCTGCTATAGCCTTGCTGGTATAGTCGTTGTTGTACGCCTGCTCGAACTGGCTGCTGGCAGCTGCAAATAGCCTGTCTACTTCCAGTTCGTCCTCAGCAAAAAGCTCCATAATCTGTAAGCCGTCCATCCTCGTCTTGGAAACTACGCGATTTAGTGAGCCTGAGGCACTGGTAGTAGCGCCCTCCCTGCTCGCCGACAGCCCAGGGCCCTCGGCTCACTATATCTTCTTTTTTTTTATAGAAATTCTGCATAATAATGCAAGGTACACAATATAGCAGATGCTAATATCATAAAACATAAATAAGTACTTAAGGGGACAGAAAAAATGGAGAAATGTGATGTTTAAACTGTAGTAGATGCTCAGAGGTACGAGCTTCTAGAGGCAAACAATTCCATAGTCTGACTGTACAGAACAGAAGAAAGAAAAATTTAAAGCATTACAACGAGAGTATGGAACTATGAAAGCATAAGTATATACGGCGGCCGACAAGTGCCATCCTTCCAATTTCCATTTCGTGTTTCCATTTTCCAAATTCATACCCTATTTTCCATTTTGTACCTCCACTTTCTGTTCGCCATCACGCGCTGCGCACGGTTGGATGATGCTAGGCCCCTACGGCTCATCAGAGAATCGTGGATAATGGACGCACGTAGAAAAAGACATGCGCCGAGCCTTAGGGTTGCCGATGCGGCTGGGAATACTGCCGGCCTGCATGATTGCGCCACTAACGTCCCTCGTCGACATTTTTCCGATCGGGGGGTCTCCAGGTGGGTGTGGCGACTAGCGACTGTGGACTAAGCGTGCGGCAGACCCTTACGCGGAGGTCTGGGTAGCGAGACCAGTGTACGTCCGGAGCGGTGCCGTCGGACATCCGACGTGCTGCATGCAATTATGAAGCCGAGAAAGGACGGCAGTCCGCGCCGCGCTGGTCAAGCTATCTAGAAGGCTGGGAAAACAGAGAACGGAAGCGTGAAATGGAAGCGCAAAATACAAAAGGTAATATAATTTGGAAATTGGAAGTACAAAAAGGAAAATGGGAGGTGAATTTGGAAAGACGAAATGGAAATTGGAAGGATGGCACTTGTCGGCCACCGTACATAAGGGTTGAAATTCCGAGTTGATGACATGTTGGGTGTGTACAATGTCTGTCTGCGTAGTTCCTGCAGCTCCGCATCTAACCTATATATACTCAGAGAGTCTCAAGGGGGTAGGGTGTGGCATCATGTGCACATGGGTTGTTTTTCATGGGCAGGAGATTTGACCTGTGACATCACTATTTTATAGAGCTCATAGCAATGCTTGAAAATATCAAAACCAAAAAGCTAAAGAATATAACAGACTGATCGACAGGCAGCATGCTGCTTTGTGCCTCAGGTTTAAATGCCATACACACTAATAGTCTTGAGCATGCTCCTTTGTTATCACATTAAGCATGCGTTAGAAATGACTACTGATGTGGTAGTCATTGAGTAACCCTCGGCGCGCATGCGCAGCGAGGGTTACAGAAGTCGCAGGGGCGTAGGAACAGGGGGGGTGGCTACAGGGGCCAGGGCCCCCCTTTTCTGTTGTTCGTTCGTTCGTACCTTATCGTCCATGCCTGAGAGCGGCACCAGCGTTTACACATACGTACGTACGTACACGTACACGTAGCCTCGCGGGCGGGAGGCGTGGCTCCGCATGCGCAGTTCGCCGATGGTTTGCACTTTAGTGCTTTTCATTACTAAAATTTTGTGGCCCCCCCAATGCAAAACACTTTCCTACGCCCCTGAGTCGTGCTGTCTGTCCGTATGTCTGTCTGTCCGCGCGAGTTCTAGCACTACAGGCTACGAGACGGCCAATGAGTGGCACCAACGGGTTGTGACGACGAGGAGATTGATATGAAACGACTGCGTTCCAGAGATATGGCGTGAAAACAAGCGAAAAAGCTTACGCGAGCGATTCATAGCGCACGCGCGTATGTCGTTTGCCGGAGCATGCGCATCTGTTAGATTCCGCGTGGTTGACCTTTGGACGAGCAAGCGGTTTTTCTCTCCTCAGTCATTGTTGATCTCTGTTCTCGATGGACAACAAATTGAGCAAGGTATGTCGGCAATGTTCATAATCGTACTGGGCTTACCGCGACCTGATCCGCTCGCTCTGTGTACCTTTGGGGCTCAGAAAGTCACAACGAATGGCATGTATCGACTCCCGCATGCTATCTACTATACTGTAGCTAGCCCGTGTCAGACTCGCGACGAGAGCAGTATCGCAGTTCGCCGAGGGTTTGCACTTTAGTGCTTTTCATTTTTGCATGCTTGTTTCTCTCTTTGTGTTTTATTGAGGCCCAGAGGTTTTTTATGTTTCTCTCTCCAGTTGCTGTACCGCGGCTTGGGGCCTTTTATGGCAGGGGTACAGGGCCAATCTTCATGGACAATGTCTATTGCTCTGGAAGTGAAGAAAGACTGATAAATTGTAGCCACCATGGGCTGTCGGTACATGACTGTGACCATTTTGAAGATGTAGGAGTCTCATGTCTGCGTGAGGGAGACCTTTAACTAATGGGTGATCAGGGATGTAGCCAGGATTTTGTAAAAGGGAGAATAACACGCCGCAGTCAATGCCCATTATTTTTTTATTACGTATGCCTGCATCGACGTGTGCTATGTGTATACTAGATTTTAGGCCAACCGGAGTGAAGGCAAGACCTTCCAGTGCACAACCCTCACCGCATTGAGCAATACGGCTAGCTGTTCTCTCGTGCTTTCCTTTCTTGGTGTGTGCAGTAGACAAGCTTAGCTACCACTTTGTGCATGGCCTGCCATACATTGAAACAGAGTTGAAAAGTGTGATTGGGGCTACTGAAAGGGATACTACCCCAACTGCTATCTGAGCTACGAAAACGGCTGCTAGATCGTTAGCTGAGCAGCATGCACGCTACATATATGCAATGTTTATCGATACGTTTACACATGGAAAATCATTCCTGCCGCTAGCCGCATGTCGCGTCTTATCTGTACCACCCTCGTGTGGTACTGATAGCTAAGCACCTCGGGTATATTCCCCATATACCCATGAGTTAGTAACCTATACATATTCTCCCGCCCACTTCTGGTATTAGTGGCCCATACATAATAATGTATTATACATTTCACACAATAACACGCACACATGTCTGTACAGAGCGTGGGTTCAGGTGTAATACTGGAGACATTCGTCTGACGGGTGGAGCCAATGAGCATGTGGGACGAGTGGAGTTATGTATCGACAATGTATTCACACCATTGTGTGGCTTATACTTCGACCGCATCTGGAAAAAGTGGGGTGACGCAGATGCTCAGGTCGTATGTAACCAACTGGGATTTCCTTCAACTCTTAATGGTATGTATGTGATGCACAACTATCACTAAGTACGGTAGTTCTTTGCTTCTTTACAAATCCTACGAATTTCAAAAAGAGGCATATAGGGATTGTATAAAAATATAGGGAGACAAAGGGATGGGATTCATGAAGCATGGTTAACGAACAGTCGTAGTGCACCAGTCGGTTTGTTTAAAAAAACAATACTTCCCTAGTACTTTCGGTGATGGTGTGACCTTCTTCAGGAGAGAAGGTCACCATGTGCACATACAGGCACCTGGTCCCCACTCTTCTATGATATTATTCCTGCAATTTAACACGTAAAACACAGTGAACCACTATATATACTGGCAATCTATGCAGTAACGGTGGGTAAATGTAGGGGTTATTTAAACATGCGAAACCGTGCACAGCATGCTAAACATTCCTAGGCCTAATCCTGAAGAGAGAAGGAAGCTTCTTAAAAACAAATAAAACAAGAAGGTCCATTCAAAGACAGAAGTTTATTCATGGCCCCATCCCTACATCTTGCTTTGGTGGTCATGAATGCACAAGGTACATATGTGGCTACGATGAGTAAAACCTTCTGATAGCTTATAACTCAAAAGAAATAATGAAGTACGGACAAGAACGGCATCTTTCAAGAAATAAAGAAATATCGATAGAGTTATGAATGACCTTCTGTCTTAGTGTAGACCTCTTCTTAATGACAATGCCTGGAAGCTATATAAAGAATTTGAGCTATTGAGCTTAATAATTATACAGTGTCTATGTATAGCATTCTGGGGCTTCAGAATCAACCATTAAACTGTAAAGTATTATACGTTACATTTTATTGCTGACTAATGTGTAATAATGATATATAATTATTGTGTGCAGCCAATGCGATACCGATATTGGGACAATTTGGGTATGGAGAGGCATACCATATGTCCTGCACTGGAGGTGAACCAAATCTCTTTGACTGCACCCTTTTACCCTTTGATGTCTACTGTTCTTATGCTGGGGTCCTCTGTCCATGTGAGTTCCACACAATCCGAAGTCTATATAGCTCAGCATCTCTAGAAATAAGACCTCTTTACCCAGATTTCGCATCCTCCCTTGCTCATGCTATATAGCCTAGCTAAGCATCCCACGCCAGATATCAAAATTTCCCCCATCATACCAAAGGTTTTACAGAACATAAATCTTTACCTACACCAACACCTGCAATGTCATTTTGCAAAAAAAAACACTGCTTAGTCTCTGTTGTGCAATACACTGCAACCTTGGTTCGTAAATCAAGTGTGTGTGTGTCTGTCTGTCTGTCTCTCTGTCGTTACCACTCTTCACTTTTCTGCCACCATGCGCAAAAGCCAGCAAAAAAGCAATACTAACCAAGTTAGCTCTACACTAGCTTGAGTTTAAACTTTGGGGTTATGGTGTGTGAACCAAGTGAACAAGCCAATATGCAAATTACCAGTCGCTTACCTCGAGCCTGTTTGCGTACCATGGAGGCATCTGAAGATGTCGAGTCTCACCATGCCTAAGGTGCTAATTATACTAGTCTAGCTAGCCTGTCTTAAAAAGTTAGCAAGAGGCCGCGGTAGTGAAGCCCAGCCCATCAATTGGCGGTTCTTACCTGCGCATGCATATGAGTGCAATGACGCCGAGGGTTTGCACACAGAGTGAGTATACAGTTACAAATGCACACGTCAATAATGACTCATGCCAGCCAGCCTATGACTGTAGGGTAATTATAAATTTTGTTTCATAACTCCATCAGCTCAGCAACTGTAGCCACATAGCTATAGTATTATTTTTCTCTGGGAAAAGACCTTAATTTAGGACAAACACTTTGACAAAATTTCATTCCAAAGTCGAAAACCCTTGCCAACTTTCCCACTAGCCTTAAGCCTCATGTGAGTGTGCTATTTCAATGTATTATTAGTACGCATGTTCCCCCTGCAGCTCCAAATCCTGTATGTCAGAACGGTGCAGTTCGCCTGGTAAATGGCAGATTTCCTAGTGAGGGTCGGGTTGAAGTTTGTTACAATGGCCACTGGGGGACACTTTGTGATGATTCTTGGGGACCGCCTGAGGCACAGGTTGTCTGCCGTCAACTGGGCTACCCCACTGAAGGTCAGTTGTTCATTTCAGTATCCTTTTTCCTACATCGATTATATAAAAGAATTTGTTCACTGTAAGGGAAATTTGTTATAAGTGTGGCGAAAATGAATAGTGTTCTATAGGGCTAGGCTCCGAGGTATGTTTGTAGCATGCAGAGTATCGTACGCCAACAATGTTCAACATTTCCACTAGTAATGAGACTCCACTGTAGTTGACAAAGTATCACTGCATAGTATAGGTGCAACTCCAGTCAAGTCTAGTGGCTTTGGACAAGGAGACGGTCTCATTCTTCTGCCTTATCTCGAGTGCACTGGGGCAGAGGCAAACCTGGCCGAGTGCCCTGATAACTTGAATTCCCTGCATTCCTCTCTCGACTGCACCCATCATGATGACTCTGGAGTAAAGTGCCCTGGTTAGTGCTATATATTACCCTACAGTCATAGGCTGGCTGGCACGAGTCATTATTGACGTGTGCATTTGACACTCACTCTGTGTGCAACCCCCCGGCGTCATTGCACTCAAGTGCAGGTAAGAACCGCCAATTGATGGGCTGGGCTTCACTACGCGGTCTCTTGCTAACTTTTTAAGACGGGCTAGCTAGACTAGTATAATTAGCACCTGAGGCATGGCGAGACTCGACATGTGCTGTATCTTATGATGCCTCCATGGTATGCAAACAGGCTCGAGGTAAGCGACTGGTAATCTTGGTTCTCACGCCATAACCCCAAAGTTTAAACTCAACCTAGTGTAGAGCTAACTTGGTTAGTATTGCTTTCTTGCTGGCTTTTTGCACGTGGTGACAGAAAAAGTGAAGAGTGGTAATGACAGACAGACAGACACACACACACTTGACTTACGAACCAAGTACTACAACAACAGTACCAATTAAGTACCCCTGTTTCTCCCTTCAGAATGCCAGGCTGGATTTACCCTCTGTCTAGCCAATGGAACATTTGAATGCATTCCAACAGATATCGATAACGATACTGATTGTGTGATCAACAAACAGGTATAGCTAACACAGAAATGAAACATCGATACCTCATTATGCTTGTGATTAGCAGGCACTTACCAATTTGAGAAATTACCTGCCATACAAGCACCCCTTCACATATGTACACCCCCTTTAATTAAGAGTGGTATCCTACTGAGAGCTATACACCCTGTCCACTTTATTTATGTCCCAATTGGATATGCATTCTCTTCGCTATTCTCCATTTTCAACCGCTCCAATAGGACAATTGTAGATATGAAGAAAATAGGGATCAGAGGGATAGAGATGAGGATGGGGTAGGAGATGTCTGTGACAACTGTGTGTTGACCCCTAACCCGGACCAGGACAACTCTGACGGTGATAGGGCAGGGGCAGCCTGTGATGCTGATGATAATGATGCAGGAGTTGGTAAAAAAAACCATTCACTTTTTGTTTAACCTTACATAATATTGAGTCAACAGAGCTGGTCTATTCGTAGCTAACACATATAATTAAGGATACAAAGCTATATGGCGAGGAATTTCAGATGCAATAAGTATTTTAGCCTATAATTATATTTGTAGCACAATACACCATTTATGTTTCATCCTCTGTTTTGTTTTAAAGTTGCTCTTTTGGGGATAACAAGAAATAATATAAATGTGGCAGAAGATGTTGGGCATGCTCAAGTGTGTGTTGCTGTTGAGACTTCTTCAATGGAGTGTCCACTTGATTATCCATTTGATGTTCAAGTCAGGACCATTGATTACAGTGCAGGTATGAATGTGGGCTTATTCGGGGCTTTTGATGTGGTTGTCTTGGGTATTTGGATTGACAAGTATGGCTGTGGGTCGTTAATCAACAGCAGCACAATGCTTAAGTTAGCTACATGGGAGTATCATATTGGGTCAGCAAGTTAGGTATTTTTGGATTTGACGTTTTCTGAGATTTTAAGTTATCTGGTGAAAACTAGAGCATTAAGCCAGTGGTTAAGGGGCAGTGATATAATTATTGTTATGTATTACTTTTGCCTTGCCTATATTATACTTAGAGCAGTAATAGCTAAAGAGGCCGCCTAAATACCTTCCCTCCTGATTATGTTAAATCAACTATTTTCAGTTTCTCCAGATAATTTTACTGCCCAAAAGATGACTTTGACATTTCCACCCTGTACCCCTTCACTCTGTGTGAACATCACCATCAATGATGACAGTACTCTTGAGAAAGAAGAGGTGTTTAACGTGTTGCTTGACTTAGATGGTGGAGCTTCTGAGCACAACATTACCCTTGTCAAAAACAAAACGATGGTGGTGATCATGGACAATGATGGTAAGAACCAGTATCTGTACATTAATTACACCATTGGCTAAGAAGACCGTACAATAATGATAAGGCTGGTATGCACAAACAAACTAGGCTGTGCTTGTTTGCCCTACCATACCCCTGATCTTCTCTGCTATGCTTGCACTTTGTTTTATGCATTTTAACTGCCGGTGATTGTTCAACAGTGGACGTTGTTTTGGAGTTGGAAAGTGTATTTGTCGAGGTTTTTGAAGATGAGGATGCTTCACTTTGTGCCAAAATTCCTACCAATGTGGCATGTGCCATCGAATTTCCTTTCGAAGTTAACATTACTCTAAGCTCAAACAAAGGTATTTACCCCATTTTTCATTTTATGTGTGTGCACAACAAACACAACGACGGACGCAGAAAGTTCATCGGATTGCTTTTAGCACATAAGCACTACCATAGAGTTTTGAGTTTGATATAATTAGCTATTACACCTTGTGGGGGTTTGTCCGCCAGAGGGTGTAGGGCGGATAAACCACAGCACCACGACAAAAGGTGTGATATAATAATATTTTTACGAGGGAGAGAGAGCCTGGAAAACCCTTGGAGGACGAACCAGGCATAGCCGACAAACTATCTATAGCAAGCCGCCACCTGAAAGAAAATCAGTGCCATTTTCTGTATATGGACTACATTCAGCGATCGACACCCTGGCCCCGAATGGACACCGCTCACCTGGGCCAGTTCTGCCATCTTATATACCGATACGGATAGGCTAGTCGTGACGGAAGAAAATTAGCCAATGAATAGTTGCGAAGTTGTAATGTTTAGAATGGCAGCATTCGTGGAGGCCAACCAGGAACTACTAGGGCATCTCTTAACTATCGTGATAGGACTGGAGTCACTTAGAAGGACGGAAGAAGCTCGCGCTTTGCTTGATTGTAGCCGAAGCTTGAGTCACAAGCAGCAAAAAACGCTGCTACTAAACTGTACAGCATCATGGTTTAGCCCTGCACTATTCTTTGTGATTGTGTATGTCTAAAAATAATTATTTTGTGTACAATGAGATATCCAGCCCTTTACATTCTGCCCTAACCACAGTGGATATTGTCACTTCACCGTGGACATTCTCACCTTCAATGAGTGGAGTGGCTGATTTATTCTTCGCAAATAACCATAGCAACTACCTAGCAATGGGTAATAAACAATTGTGTAAACACTAAAGTACTCGTAATCCAGTGGCGGATCTAGGGGGGTTCCTTGGATTCCGCGGAACCCCCTTTTTATCGTTTTGCGCACATGCGTCGATGGCCTCGTGCGCACACGAGCACAGTCAAAACGTTCTCACAACAGCGGAACCCCCTTGCCCCCCTTTAAAAATCCTAGGTCTGCCACTGTAATCTCGAACTAATAATTATGCTATGCACTGCAGACAACAAATATTTCTCTGTTGATATTTCAGCTGATGATTTTGTAGAAGATTTCACTATTTCATCGCTGAGTCTATCATTCCCTCCATGTCAAGCACAAGCATGTTCCAAGTTGCCAATCATAAATGATGACGTAGTTGAGAGAAACAAGTCATTCATTTTCATGCTGGAAAGCACGCCTGAGCTTCAAGAAAGGATTAAGTTAACTCCTTTGACTGGAGTATTAGTCCTACTCAACGATGACAACGGTATGTAGTTTCCACTCCATTATTTTGTGTTCAATGATAATGTAAATTTTAGTGATGGATGTTGGATTCGATTCTACAACATACACTACCAATGAAACCACCGGATATGCTAATGTCTGTGTTGCAGTTACAAACCCTCCTTCTGGTGGAGCTATACTCCCATTTTCTGTAACCATACTGCCTGGAAAAGGTGGTTATGTTAAAATTATGTTTATACAATTTATCGGGGCTGCTAACTTCATCAACCCATGTTTTAGCTAGTTGTGCGGCTCCTTAGGTAGTGGAAACCCCTGGTCTATAATCATACAGCAGGTGATGTGCCCTTCACTACGTGTATACAAAAGCGTAAACCTGTAAGTTAGCCCACTTCAATCGTTGATTACCAATAGTGATTGTGGAGTGTCAGACTGTGTTCTTAACAATTATGAAGGGGTCAGAGGCAACCCTCAATATACAACTCTTGCCGGTTTTCCTTCAAATATGTTCTAAATGTCCTTATAGAACAAAAACCGGCAAGAGTTGTATACTGAGGGTTGACTCACTCTGGCTCTGACCCCTTAAATTGTGGTATTCTATGGAATAAGGCAAATAAGTAAAGTAAAACAGTAGCAGGTATGTAGGAGATCCTTTGAATTCCTGTGATGATAATGTGCCAAATGGAAACATTGTATTTTGCCTTCTCTTCGGTATAGGGGAGGTTTCTAATGATCAGTACACATTGGAGTGCACCAGAGAATTAATATTTCAGGAGGGAACCTCGACAGTGTGCCACATTTACAACATTTCTCAGGACAATGTGTGCGAGCTGGAGGGAAAGTTAACTTACTTTCAGCTCCGGCTCAGTCTGACATCTACAGTTGGACTGAGACTAGGTCCATCAGTATCTGCTGCAATGGTTAATATTGATGACACCAGAGAGCCAGAATGCTGTGAGTCATTGCGATCATTTTACCTCTCAGTTTTCCAGCTAATGCTGCCACTGGGCAGCTAGTTATAGCCCTATGCTCAGACCCTTGGGGAGGAGAATAGTGCATTGGTGGTTTAATTAGCTATATACCTGCTACATACTGAGTGAGAGTATACTGTGCTATAGCAAAGTGGTTTGAGGTGTGCCTTTGTGTTGTGTTGTGTTGTGTTGTAGATTCGAACCACTACAAGCTGAGTTGCCCTAGTAGCTCAGTTGGTAGAGCGCTCGCCTAGACTGCAGAGTGTCGTGGGTTCGAATCCCGCCCAGGGCAACTCTTCATCTTTTCTTTGAAAAGAAAGAGCTGTCCTGGGTCTAGTTGACTTGTTTGCCTTGCCTTGCCTTGCCTTTCTACCTCGCTACCAAGTTGTTGAAACATGCACCTTACATCATAGGGTCAGTCTCTGTTGCATCACACTGTAATGTTGTGCATCTCGCATCTCATTCTAAGACCAGCATTATGTCCATACATTTTTGTTAGACTGCTCAACTCTTGTAGCTATGTGAACACACAGGGTGACTGGTACCGAAAAGGATTTGTCAGAAAGGCTGACTTACTATAGCTCGTGACAAACATCCCTTATTCCAGTTATTGCCCATTAGCTACAATCTTAAAAAAAGAGACTTCCACATTGAATTCTCTGTGACTGCTCATAGTAGTTAATGGGCATCACATTTTATAAGAAATGCAGTGACATGTATACTAATAGTAGATAGATAGCCTAACATAGCTTCATCCTGCTATCTCTAGGTTGTGAATTTTTACTTTATGCACCAATTCTGCAGCATCTTAGCTGTGGCTACATGTTCTATGAGGTCACTCAAAATCTTATTCTGTAGATGTGAGTGTGTGGTATGACCACGCAAGTTACACAATATCTGAACAAGAGGATAGTGTGCAACTGTGTGTCATCAGCAAATCCCCTGGAATTGATGAGATGTTTACAATCATTATCACAACTACCAGCACTGCAAGTAAGTGGTGCTAATTGTATGGGATCCTCTCTTCAATTATGTCGACAGATTCAACAGTGTTTTTACAGCAAGAAGATTACAGACTAGATATTGAAGTAAACAGTACTCATCCAATGGAAACAGAGTGCTACAATATTTCCGTTAACTTTAATGCTAGTTTTTTATGTGAATATTTCGAATGCAATGCAATAGAAGTTGTGTCAACTCTGAATGTGGATATCGATGAAACTGCCCGTGTCACAATGAACAGATCAGTGGCTTCAGTCATCATTGAGCTGCCAATCAGCAAATGTGAAGAATGTAATCCACCACCACCAACCTTTTCTTTCTCGTCTAATGGCACCACTAGTCCCTCCTCCTCTTTATCAGCTTCAACTACTGTAACTGCATCAAGCAGTGATGCAAATAGTATCATTATTGCAGCTACCGTTCCTTCACTGGTTGTAGTGATTACTGTAGTTGCTATAATCATCTTACTGTACTGGAACAAGACTAAGAGATACAAAAAGAGCCAACCTCAAGAGTGAGTTCTTCCTTGTTATAGCTATATCTCCTTAGTATTGTTTGCTCTCATACAGGCACAGAGGAAATGTGTACATCGGTGATCATTATAATAACACACTTGGTAAGACTATTGTACCCTTTGTATTGGAGCCGCTGATGCTTTTTAATGTGCTCACAGGTGAGACCACAAAGACTTCTGTCTTGTCTTCACAACTGAAAGCGCAACTAAATACAAGAGGGATGCTGTTGTGCAAGAATGAACTTGAGCTTTCCAGTACCGTGGGTCAAGGTGTGTTACGGCTCTGTCAGAGTCGCATTAATAATATCTCCAAAGTCATTTAATAGCTATCTTTTTTCTTTCAATTTAAGGTGTGTCAGGACTTGTATACAAGGGATATCTGAATACTGCATTAGGGAAGGAACTGGTTGCTGTAAAAACTGGAAAGGGTATAATTATGAGCTGGGCATATCAATGACAAAATGTTAAAGTTTTTTGTCTACTTTTGTAGCCCTCTATTCTGCCAGTGATGCAGAGCGATTGGCCAAAGAGGTGTCAACCATGTTGTTACTTAAGCATATTAACGTCATGTCTCTAGTGGGAGTATGTCTTGAAGGGGACATACCCCTACTAATTATGCCCTTCATGACCAACGGAAGTGTCTTGGAGTTTGTTAAAAAGCACAGAGAAAGTCTGCTATGCATCAGCACAATTGAAGCACAGGTATAATAAGAGTCACCCAGAACTCCTTCATAATTCTAGCTACCAAGTGTAATCGTATCTGTATTTCTACAGATTTTGTCTGCCAAGAAAACTCTACTTAACATTTGTCACCATATCTCAAAGGGTATGGAATATCTTGCAATGCAGAAGTTTGTTCACCGTGATCTGGCAGCCAGAAACTGCATGTAAGAATTACAGAGTGACACCAGTTGTTGTTGAAGCATACTTCTTGAACATTAATTGCTCAGGATTGACCGTGATGGAGTGGTAAAGGTTGCAGATTTTGGGCTAACTGAAGATATGTACGGTACCAAATACTTCCGTCGGGATAGGGCAGAGAGTGGGAAGGAGGAGAAGCTGCCCATCAGGTGGATGGCTCCTGAGAGCATTGAGAAGGACATCTACACCGAGGCCACTGATGTGGTTAGTTAGACTTTTACTTTATACTATTTGCAATGACCGCTATTATTGTACTAAATACTAGTGGAACTCGTACTAAACTCTGTTTACACCAAAAGATAGAATACCGGAATACTGATAGCTCCAGGCTATCCTCATCAGTGGCAGAAAATGACTGGCTTTCTTAATGACTAGTGTAATCAATTCTCAATTCTATAAGAGTGTAGTACTCTGAGTTATGTTGGACTTGTCTCTTCAGTGGTCATTTGGAGTGACGGTATGGGAGATCTTCACTTGTGGGAGGATCCCATACACTGGTATTCCAGCCATGGGCCTTCTGATGAAACTGCAGAGTGGGCAGAGGCTGGAAAGACCTGACAACGAGGCCTGTCCAGATGAAGTGTAAGAAACCTCATATTTAGCTCCACTCTGTCCATCACAGTATGGATAAGCAAAGTGCCGTCAATAAGAGAATGTAGCTAGCTACAGTGGAACCCCTCTAAGGCGGACAACTTAGAGCCACAACATTTTGTCCATTATAGCGGGGTGTCCTTTATGGAGGGGTTTTCCTGATTATACAGTATTACACAATTCTATGTCACTAATTCACTGTTAACACTCTAGACAAGATTACAACATGATAATTATGATGATGATCATGACAGTAGTCAAAGTCTATATTATAAATTATTGCGCGCTAAAATATTCCGCGCCTCTTTATCCGAAAGGATTTCAAAATTTTCACATGCTGCCTGATGACATGATGTCGTCGAGAGTATATAAGTACACACGTGCGTATACGCGTGTGTGTGTGTGGCTCCGTACTCTCGTAATCATGATCAGTCCTGAAGATGCCCTTCGTCGTCGAAAAGAGAGGGAAAGAGAACATCATGCCCGTGAGACTCCTGAGCAGAGAGAGGCTCGTCTGTATCAGCGTCGCTTGCGTGATAGGGAACTATTTTCAAAATGTTTACACGCTGCCTAGCTGTCGTATCGATTCGCCAGCGAAAGAACTCTCGTCTATTCGCTGGCATTCGCTGCGCTCTTACCTGACCGAGGCTGTATGATACCTCTTTCCAATCTTCGTGGTTCTATGATGGCTCGTGCATATACAACTCGCTCCCGCTTGCCAATAATGCCATGCATTCGCCTACTAGTATTCGCTGGCAGGGGGTGCGGCAAACTGTCCGTTATGCGGGGTTTTTTTCCTACGTTGAAAAGCATTTGGGATTGGTTTTACTGTCCGTTATACGGAGTAGCGGGGTGTCCGTTCTGGAGGGGTTATGAACGTACGGAACTCCACGATAAAACAATCGGGACCTGCGAATTTGTCCGTTATAACGTGCTGTCCGTTGTTGAGGGGTGTCCGTTAAGCGGGGTTCCACTGTATGCGCTTTCATTTCTAGTGTTTTGAGCGATCCCTCTATTATCCCATTTTTGCACTTGTGACGTTACAATGTGCATGGTAAGTTGACAGTGCGTGGGTTCTATGAGAATGCCATGGTCAAGATGTTCTGAAGTCAGTGATAAAAGTTCAGTCAGTGTTCATGCACTTACATCCCTCAATAGGTATCAAATAATGATGAGTTGCTGGTCACTCGCCTCCCGTGATCGTCCAAGGTTCAGGTGTTTGGTTGGCAAGTTCAATGCCCTTCTGGAGAGGGAGGCAAACTACCTGGAGTTATGTCAGTCTCTCTGCTGGAAGGAGCAAGAAACTGCCTCAGCTGCTGCTGAGGATGAGGTGCAGGAACAAGAAACTGCTTCAGCTGCTGAGGATGAGGTGCGGGAACAAGAAACTGCTTCACCTGTTGAGGATGGGGTGCAGGAACAAGAAACTGCTTCACCTGTTGAGGATGGGGTGCAGGAACAAGAAACTGCTTCAGCTGCTGAGGATGAGGTGCAGGAACAAGAAACTGCTTCACCTGTTGAGGATGAGGCTGAGGATGAACTCTAAGAAATTAATCACACACATGTTGTGCTTGTAATAAGCTACTCGTGATATTGTGTACAAAACTCACCCAAAGCTCATTTCTGACCTTATTTCTGAGCTTTTAGCTGCACTGTAGAAATCATGTGACATTACTCTTTACAAACCTCCTTTTTATACGATGTTTATGTGCTGCGTAGGTTGCTCAAGTTTGTCTCCACTGGATCCATTTCATGTGCATATGCGTAGCTACCTAGCTGAGGGTTTTGCATGTAGCTATATGAGAGCGTCCATAGACGCTCTACGTAGGGATGGCTCGAGTGAAATCTCACGTGATCCGCCTACAAAACGGCTCAAACTCGGTGAAGACGGTTAGCAAAGCCTTCAAAAACAAGCCAAAATCACTGACGGGTCAATATTTATATTCTGATATTCTCAAAAGTGTACCGTATTTGCCTCTACTTCTCCGTGCGAGTAATCACTAATACGCGATATCTGCATTATCATGCTTCATCTTCCAGTTTCTTCTCCAGTAAACCCGCTATATATCTCCTTTCCGAAAATAGTTGAAGCGCTGATTTTTTCACTAAACGTCTCCAGATTCGCCTGAGGAGTGCATGGACATCAAGCGATCGTTTTCTCCTCCCCTATAGCTATATGCATCTCTATTCGCGGTAGACTGCCATACCCGCTGCTAACTCTGGTGTGGGGGTGTCCGTGTGCACGACTCCTCGCGGCGCGGAGCCACACCTTCTCAATCCGTGGCTGGCTGCCTCCTCGAGGCTCGTGCGCGGCCTTCTCCGACAGTTCCCAGCCACTGCTTTTTCGGACACTGCAGCAGTGCCTCTGCTTATGCAGCTTTGTAACATGAAGCAGAATGTCTCTGTATACTATGTATAGCTACATATCTTTTTTTATTGAGGTTTTGCTTCAAATCAAAAATGAGTGAAACAAGTGGAAATATCTTTTCTGTGAAACGAAAGGGGGTGTAGGGATGTCACATCATGAAAAATAGGGGAACAGGAAGATGCTTAAACCAAGACATTCATAACCCCATCCCTACATCCAGTCTCGCGTAGTTCTAAAGCCGCCTCGTAGCCTGTAGTGCCAGAACAAGCGTCGACACACACACACACACTGTGACACAGACAGACAGACAGACCAACTACAGTAATCTCACTGCGCATGCGCGCCGAGGGTCACTGACGCGTTGCCTTACGGCCGGACGCATGCCATAGCTACTCTGTTCCGTCGACTTCGTCGCGCTGTCACCCGCGTAACTGCGCCAAGCTGAGACATTTTTCGGAAGCGAAAAAATGCAGTGTAGGTTAGTTAATGGAGCTCAACACTCCTTTTTCGAACACTTCAGAGGGATGAAGGCTGCCACCTCAACTGCACATTGGGTGAAAAAGAGGTTTGGGATCTTGTATAATACCTAGAGCAATAGCTAGCTATATACCGTCACACAGAAAGAAGAGTTCAATATGATTGCAACACTGAGACTCATTATGGGTTTACTGAGGTAGGATCATCTCCAGATTGTACCTTAATAAATGAAATGACTAATTCGCTCACAACAGTATTATCGGAGCATTATCCATAGTTTGCTCAGCGGTTTACAGAAAAACAGTCTTCAATCCGAAAGTAAGACAAGTAGCTACCAGTGTGGTCTGGTCACTGGTAGCCGGTATAACCGTTTCCCCAGGTCCACCCAATATTTGTCCTGTCAGTAGCGGACACTCTGCTGAGTGTACTGTGGATCAGTGGAGCAGTGCTGTGGCTAACAGGAGGTCTCAGTGGTTACAACAAACCCCGAGTTCGTTGTTTCTCTATCTACTGTATGACCGTGGTGAGATCCCAATTTCCCCAGAGACATCATAGTTTTGTGTATCTTTTTGAATGTATAGTGTCGGTTGTGAAACAATGTAGTAAACACTTTAATGTTTTCCAAGTTTTGACTTCTTCTAAAACGCAACAGATACTTCAGTGTGTTTCAATGAATGTGACTCTTATCTATGCCCTCCTGGCATACTTCAGCATAAAACAGAGAGCCTTGAATGGTGTCTATGTAAGTAAATAGAAGATTTTTTAAAAGTATACTCCCGAATGATAATCTCTATGTGCAGATGGTACCGCAGAGACCTGTGTCTATCCACGTCTGGCCCCCTCTCTGTTCTTTTACTGCATATTTGATTGCCTGGTTAGTTCCATATTTCTCATGCACCTATGCAACATACCCTGGCTGTGCTTCCTGGACCAATCTACTTAGCCGCAGCAACTCACAATACTAATTCCCTCTTTGGTACACTCTCAGAACCCTGGGAGTGCTCAAGAGTAATAAATGTTTAAATTTATACCTTGTGTCTGATGACTTTCATTAACCCTGCCTTCTTAACTGTAATACACAATGGGGCGCCAATCGAGTGCACTGGAGATTATAATTTATGCTATCCCTTCTTTGTCCACTCCTCTCATCGAGGCTTTTTAGTCCGTATAAACACAAGGAGAGTTTTCATTCATCCCCAACCTGTAGTGATTAAAACACGCATAATCGAGCTTTGCACTCTGAACTCCCACTGTAAAAAAATCGCAGGATTCTACCAGTGCCTCTCACCATGATTCCATTTGGAGTCATAGCTCAACAATACAAGATAGTTGAGAAAGCCAACAACTGTTCCTGCTGGTACAAATGTGCTGTATTTCTGATTTTTCTAACGTTTAGTACGTTTGTGTGAAGGTGCTTACCCAACTATGGCAATATTATACCTCGGCCGCAATTAGAAGCTACAAATGGACACGTAAGTGAACTGTTTGTAGAATGTATGTTATAATTTTATTCAGCCTCTCCACAGGCTGGAAATGAGTACTTACATCATTTGCATTATTTATTAACATTTTACTCTGCCCTCCTGATATTAAACTTTGCCACTGTCTTGTGCTGCATGGCAGTCATCTATTATAAAGTCTTGCGTCAAATCAAACGCATGATGTTGACACAAGGTAAAAGAACTGAGTGCTTTGAACACGATTGAGAGAAGGTGAAAGTATTATTATATGTATGATTATCTCCTAGGAAATAGCGAAAACACTCCCTTATATGGAGCCACTCGGGCCATGATTCTAGCTGGACAGAAAGATGCAAAGAAAAGGGTATTTCTTTTTCTCACCATATACGTCATAACTGGTTTCATGAGTGAGTTCCTTGTTTATGAATGAAATTGGTATCATGTGATAACTGCTTTCTTTGCAGTCATGTATTATGGAGTTGTTAACATCATTATATTCAACTTTGAGCCATCATTAACTGACAAAAGAAATTTCAACACAAATGAAGAAGTAAATTTTTATTATCTCCTTTTAGAGGTAAAAACAAAAACAACAAAAGCACAATTATCAACAAGTTACACCATCCTTGAATCACAGGCGTTACTTGCTCCATCACAAGGATTTCTAAATGCAGCAGCCTATGGCTGGACTCGTGGAGACTTTCTGAGTGTAATGTCCAGACGACGACACAACAGAGAACTTCCTGACTCTACCAACACCTCGTACGGGGCAATGGAAGAGGAGGAGGAGGAGAAGGAGGAGGAGACAGACGTGGAAAGTGAGAGAGAAGAAGGTGAAGGAAGGCTCCTTTTGGACTCAAGGGAGAGAAGACAGAGAGGGAACACTGCCCTCACCCCTGTATCCCCTGGAGGTCTCCTCGGGGATGTATAGAACTTTTTTGAACATTCAACATAATACAATTTTTGTGCGAGCGCAAATGAAGGTGTGCAAGTACAGTAGCTTCTCCTCAAAAACTGTGAAACACACCTGGAACATACTATGAAAGGGGAGGGGGGTGTTCTGTGATTGTTAGTGCTGCAACTTCTGTAGCACCTCGACAGGTTCTCTCCCATTCGGACGGATTTTCTGGTGGGATGGGCAATATTTAAAGTAAAAAGCTGGATTGTTGTGAGCTGGAGTTTAGTTCGTAGTGTACTGCATGAAATATCTCTCGAACGCAGTCGTTTCAGGAAAATTTCCCTTTAACTTTTCAGGCTCGCACAGTTCTGATGCCGCTGGTATCACTAATAGGTCGCCTCGTAGCCTAGCTGTAGTGCAATAAGTATCGACACCTCGCTGCGCATGCGCGCCGAGGGTTAATAATAGTTATGTGCAAGCCCAAGAGTCGTGGAGCCACTCTTTCCAGGATATGACTGTTGAAGTTAGCTGTCCTTTCAGTTTCCCTGTCATTTCCTTCTTTGGAAAAGTTACATTCACTGTCAGGTGGTGTTGTTTGAAACTTTTTAGACCAGCTGACCTTTCAACATGCACATCACAGTGACATCATAACTCTCTGAAAACAACCACTTCTTCGAAATGGAGTGTGGAACTAGACATTTTTGGCAATAGCCATCGGAACCTTTAGCAATTGTTCAAGCGGTGAGGGATATCGGAAAGGTAGAATCAAGGTTTCTAAGCTCTATCTTTCCAGTGCATCAGGCACATCCCTTTACTACAACTTCCAGAATGATAAAACTTTGCTTGCTTGATTTAGGGTAGCTATAATTGTGTGTGCTGAGGCAAGATGCGTCCCAGGTTCTCGCACAAAGACGTATTTTCTGGTGGGATTGGCAATATTTCGAGATTTTTAAGCAAAAAGGTGGATTGCTTGTGGTATGAGAAAGGTAGTGTAGTCTGGGGGAGCCAGACGGGGGCTGCCTCCGCGTAGTGAGCGTTGACGTCACGAACGCGCGAGGTCGGTTGTTTCCCTACGGAAGCTGCGGATGCATCGCGCGACAGACCGACGGGTATCCCCGCTTCATCCGCTTTCCTGGAAACTCCGCAAGGGAAATCCCTTTTGACCGCACACCTCCATGCAGTGACCGAGAAGAGTTTGTTAAGACGATCAACCTTTTGAGGAGACGACCCTTTCGGCATCTAAAAGTAAAGAAACTTCGTACGGCGATATCTACTGGATCCAACGACTTCTATTTTGTAAGCACTGACCTGCGGGAACAAAATCGCGATAAGCAGTGCACGAGCTATGTAGCTATACCTATAGCCACAGCTTAGCTATAATCCTTTGGCGATGTCGCGTAAAAAGCAAGCTAACTGCCTTGTAAAAGATTACGAACGAGCTAATCGCCTGTGTCAACCTTGTCCTGTGTCAACCCTACTTTGTTGATTGTTGAATAATGATTGCGACTTTTTCGCAGTTGTTTACACAGACTGTTGACTATATTATAAGTATAAACTTCCCCAATATTCATAGCTCGAGACTCTAAAGTTGACATAGTCTGTAGTCAGGGACTCTTCTGTAAAATCCCTTATCAAGTGTTGCATTCAATACTGTGCCCATCCTACAAGAAAATCACCAAATTCCCAGTTGGGCATGCATCGCTGTACCACTTTTATCGCAACAATCCGCAGCATAAGTTGACCCCAATTATACCGTATGTGGGTTATGTAGAACACAGCAAACCCTGTTCCTTCCCAGTAACACAGTGTTTTCTCTCGTGCATATTGCAGGAAAGGGACAAATGACACTAAACAGGATACTTCTGCTATGCTTCTGTCTCCCATTGAATGCCCACACTATCTCCGCTAGTTGCTCCACTAGTAAGTGAAAGTTTACATTCCTGCAAAACTAAAAGCATAGCTGGCTATATCCGTTCCACTTTAAAGTAGGCTCAGCAATTTCCTTTGTGTGGGGTTTGAACGGAGTACTATCATGTGCGCCAGATTAACCCTAAGAAAAACAGAGCCATAAATTATTGCGAGTCCATAAGGCGGACAGGGATTAATTTTATGACTGTGTTTCTCTGTGTAACTATTCTTTTCTGTTGTTGTACTTATTGCCAACATTAAGACCTGCCTTCTGAGCTGCCCTGGTAGCTCACTCTGCCAAAACAGAGTGTAGTGGGTTCGATTCACATTTGGGCCAACTCTTTTGTCTTTGTGTCGTTGAATTTTTCATACCTTGTGTTTATATACACCCCTTGATTTCATTCAGTGGTCAAAACCATGAATAAATACTAAACAAGAGATAACTTTAGGATGTGTGTAGCTACGCATGTATGGCATATCAATGTGTGACAGTTATATAGCTACCACCAATCAGTCTGTCAGTTGCTCTTCATGTGTACTGAAGTAGCTGCCTGCTCCTTTCAGTCATGCTCTGTTTACATCCTTGAAGTAAAATAATTTTAACACGAAATTAACTATTTTCGCAGAACGGCTTGGTGGCAGTGGTGAAACGGTGACATTTCAGTGTGACTCTAACAATGCACCAGTTTGGAGACACAATGGCGTTAACTTGACAGGAAACAACGAAAAGTACCAGATGGGCACAAGATCTAGATCTTTGACTGTTCGTGAAATTGTTGGCAGTGATGAAGGGGACTATAGTTGTGTGCAGAGTGGAGACATTGCTGGATGTCTTCTGGTGTATGGTAAGCATTATTGACTGCACGAATAGCTAAAAACAAAACTTTTCATTGTTCAGGTAAAGCTGATTTTACTAGGAACGATGACATTAATAATATGATCAATGTTTCGGTCGATGGGACAGTTACGTTTGACTTGACATTGTCATTCTCACAATCCGGACCCTCCATGAACAACCAAACCATATCCAAATACACTCTCAAAAGGAACGGCGAACCTAGTCACCTGTGAGAGCATTTGCTCTTTTCATGACGCCCGACCCACATCATTGGTGGACGGTTGAGGAGGGGGTGGAAACTGGGCACGTGTTTGTATTGCATCAAGCAAAGAGTAGTGACAGAGGAAGCTATACAGCTGAGGTCGAAGTCAAACATCCAAACGGAAACACTATCAGTGTACTAACAAAGACGTTCCATGTTACATGTAAGTACAAAGTTATATAGCTGCTGGGTGAAACATTATGCTTTGTGTTGACTAAACAGCTTATGTATTTTGCCTGCTCGTGGTGTTTATGCTGGATACTGTTAGCTTTCAGGTTGTCACACCTGCATGTGATGTAATCTGAAAAAATGTTTCCAGTTATACACCTTCTGTTGACACTTACAAAGCAGACATTGAAAGTTACTTCCATAATATGGAGTAGTTGTAAGAGTTCTGTGGGCATCACTGTGCCAACAGGCTTCCCAGGAACTTCGTGCAAGTTTGCTTTATTTTAGGTCCGGCAAAGCCATATTCTAATGCGGCAACAAGCCTACTATGGATATGCATACATCCACGAATGCTCTCTAGTGTTTCACTAAAGACTGGTCTCCATAGTAGTCCTACTTGGTCTCATGCAGTCTTCAGCAGTCAGGGGAAAACGCTACATTCCTATTTCCAAGAACCAGAGTTGCATGGGCGTAATGGGCATTCCAAGTTTAGTCAGTGTTTCCATACGGTATGTCCAGACCGCACAAGACTTAGAAAGATTATAATAATGGAGACCAGCCTTCACTTGTTCCTCACTATAACTTTGTTGCAGCTCCAAAATGTGACAAACCGGTTCCTAGCATTGAAAACGGGCACGTTTCAACACTTGAATCAAATGAGAGTGATATCAATGGAGCCCAAGCAAACTACTCCTGCAATGATGGTTGCGAACTTGAGGGAAGCAAGTCTCTAAGATGTCAGATTGTTGTAACGAACCACCTCGCAACCAGTCAGTGGGTGAATGACACTGAGCAGAATGAGATGCCAAGTTGCTCTTGTACACCTCCTGGTAGGTTATAATTATTTACCTCAAACTTCATGTTTTAATACGATCATGGTCGCTTTTATGCAGGTATAACTCCTACACACACTTTCACCGTATCTAATAAGATCCCACAGATTAAAAGTAGGTTTGTAGCTACAAACTTTTGAACACTATTACTGTTGAATGGGATTTATTCTTTCCGCATTCAGGCACAAGTACGAGCACCTTTTTGAATGCAGTACCAGGTAAACCAAATGAAATATTTAACTAAAGTCAAAGGGCAGTATGGCTATACTTTTGTGTGGGAACAGCATTACCAGTGTGCAGTTGGTAGATGTAGCTCCATTGCATTTAGAAGTAAAGGTCTAGCTTCCGTAACTATTTTTTCTCAGGCCAAGTTTCTGAAGGAGAAACTACTCCACTTCTGGTAGTAGCAGTTGGTGCTACAACTGGATTACTATTAGCGTTCATACTTGTCACTGCACTGATCGTCGTCTCTGTCGTGATTTGGTTGAGGAGAAGACGTGAAATAAAGAGTCCTCCGGAAGAAGAGGCCTATTATCAGGGAGCTGATGATAATGACTCTCCAGAGAATCAAAGCGTCTCACACATTTCACACAGTGACTATGATGACAATCTCAGCAACCACGAGGACTTTATTGAAATCCCTGCTAGTTTCAAGAATTCAGACCCATTTCCTATATAGCTGTGTGTTTTGTAAATGCTTATGGCAGCGGTCAAACGCAACCATTACCACTCACTCCAATATGTATGTGTAGAAACATGGTCACTCTTAACTCTAAAGGCGAACTACAATTCCGATATTATATTTACAGTCGATGTAGTAGAATAAGGATGACACTAGCTGTGGATTGTAAAGTCAATTGCATCCCAATTGCCAGTATAGTAGCTATTGTACTCTGCAGTGATTTTCAGTTTCGATGGGAAACCTTGGTAACATACAGGGAATCGAATCAACAAAAACCATACATCAGCAAAAGTTTGTTGTATATTTCTAAAATCTCATGTAGCTAGCATCCTTTTATTTGGTGCAAACAGATCTAAGTCATCTCAATAGTAATTGTGAGGGTTTCGACATGTACCAAAGGATGGCAGCACTGTGTCACACATACATACTGTAACAAGTAACAATCAAAGAGATGATATCTCATAATTGTGTGTAGCTACCATGTTTGACTCTGGGCCAAAAATGTATTGCATTTCTTCTAGCCCTGTATATACATTGATAAGATGATCCCAAGTAGCTATATACCATACTCATACCCATCCCTATAATTACCAACTAAGTGATTAACATTAAAAGTCTTCACATTTTGTTGGTTATTAGCTCCCTAGGAATGATCTTTTAACAACATGCATAATACACAATAGCTAAATCACTACTCCATAACTAAACAAAACTCATAATTCTAATTGAAAAACTACAAAGTCATTGTGAAATCAACACACCAGCTTTGTTATTAGTCCCCACATAATATTTCACTGGCAAACGAGTCGATCTTGAGGGGACAGAGGGGGTCCACCCAAACCCTCGCATTCTTCTGCCTTCCACTGAACACAAATGTCCCTTCGCTGCTCTTCCACTTGTTCAATATCTCCATCACTCGTTGAGATGATTGTACATCACTGCTACCAATTATCCGGGCTCTAAACAATATCGATTCTATGTGAAAGATATTGTGATGATTGCAAACAATTTGTTCACCTGTAGATGATGATGTCATCGTTACAGTGGAACTCTCCCTGGTCTATCAGTGAGGACTCAAAGCCACACCTACATTCCCGATCAATGAAAAACGCAAGTGTTTCTTTGATATCTCGTTCCAATCGCTCTGAAACCTTTTAACAATGTTTAAAAAATAAACGGTATTTGTTTCAATTTGGGTGTTGCTCTTACCTCGGTACACAACAGTCCATTGAACTTCAATTGGAAAAAGGCGAAATCTATCAACGACAAAGTAAACTAGTCAATTAGGTGTTGATTCCTACAACAACTCCTAAGAGCATGCAGCTTACCAAACATAACTCTGTAGTCAGAGGTGTCTGAAGGGACAATACTATATGCTGGATGTTCCAAAGTCATTGAGCAAGTGTAGAGTTTGTCGTGACCATGACCAAGTGGGTGGAATAGCAGAGTGCTCCTAAAGACACTGCCTTCACCAGACACACAACTATTGAGATCGTCATGTTTTTAGAGTTCTGGAGAGGTCTGCCCTCAATATCTGACCACTGAACACGAATGTTGTCCTTAAGATGGAGTTTCTCGAGTGGAATGGATGATGTCACAACTCCAGAACACACCAAGCTAAAGTCTTCATTCACTGGTAGACCATAAGCCGTTGGTGAACCAGGATATAGGTCCACTGTAAAGACAAACAGTTACAACCTTAACCAGCCACGGACACATAAATATGTCCAGAGCCTCCATAAGTCTACAACAATAGGGGTTATAATACTAGGCGTTAATACTATTTTTCGTTTATCGAATGAGATACCTTTGGCATCAAAAGAGATTATTTATTTAAGGTAAAATAATGTTTTACCTGACAAGGACAGAGATACAGCTGGGATGTTGTAAAGGGTTATTGTTTCTGTTCGATGACCTGCAGTGTTTCTCACTTCGCAAGTGTACTCTGGTTGATCAGTAATCCCAGCTATATCCCGAATGACGAGGGCATTGTAATAGTAAGAACCTTGTCGGTTTGTCACTGCCTGATACGCTTCATATTTGAAGCCATCTATTGTAACTTTTACACCATTTCGTCTCCATATCACATTAGTGGGTGGATAGCGGTAGGTGCTGCAGTATACTGTGACCAAAGCATCCGTTTCTGGGCTATTGATATGATTGATGTAGTCACCACTAGTCACGTATGGTGCATCTGCAAGTTTATTAAAAATTAAGGGCATAGGATTTTAGGTAACTTACTAAAATTATTATAGTCATAGACCCCAACACTTAGCTGGATAATGTTTCCATTGGAATCAGCAATGTCACAAATGTACATTCCTCCTAGTCTCTCATATCTGTAGTTATGAACAAAGAGACCTGTAGCTGACTCTGTAACCGTTACGCAATTCTCAGTTGTATTGGGATAAAGTCTTCCGTAGTAGTACCAGACGGAAGGTCTGTACTCAGTTACTGTGGAGTTGGAGAGGCAGTAGAATGAGACTCGGCAATTGTTACAATAATGTGAAGTAAACCGGAGAGCAGTGTTATTAGGAACAGCAGAATCGGTCACTCTCTCACTACTACTGACATATATTCCGGCACCTGTAAACAACACAAAAATATCCCCATTATTACTCCACAATAGTTCTCATTTTTTACCAAACAGTTCCATAGGTGTCATTGCAGTTCCTGTGTTTCCCACCTCATCTGTTACAGTACAGATATGGTATCCAGCATCAAATGCAGTCAGTATGTCCCGAGATATGTTCCCTCCACTGGCACCATTGGCAAAGGAGTCTGAGTTTGTAGAGAACCACAGGTAGCTGGCAGTCCCTACTGCATTGGTAGCCACACAGGCTAGGGAGACAGAGCTGGCTGGACGATAGTAGGGAGGACTTGGGAGATGGAAATCAGATGGTGGAGTGTAGTCCACTTGTATACTCACAGAAAGTTCTATAAAATTGGGAGAAGATAGCTGATGAATAATACTCTTTGCCTTTGGGAAAAAATCTCGCCTGTCCTAAGTTGTTTCCGTGGTTCTCACAGTCTTGTTACTAACTCCACCACCAGATCCAGCGTTTACAGGAGTCACACTAGCAGTACAGCCATAGTCACCAGATTCTCTGACTGTAAAGTTACTAATCGACATCACAGAGCTATAGGAGAAGCCACTGCCACGAACATCAGAGACAGATGCTCTACTAGCATCACTGAAGAAAGGTGGGAGGTCCCACTCTATCTCGACCAACACAGGAGTGTCGACCTCGCTGATAATGTCAACCTCACAGACCAGTGTGTGGTCAGAGTGGAGTTCCACCCTCCCGTTATTCCCTCTTAATATAGTCACGACAGGTGGAGCAGCTGGAGGTAGCAAGAAGGTATGAGACACTACACATTGTTTTCTGTGTATTAGCTTACCTACTACTTGAAGTTGAATAGCATTGGATGAGAAATTGTCAGTAGAATGGAAATCTATTTCAGACAAACACTCATACTTTCCACTGTCTGACGTTTTCAGAGAGTCAAAGTTGAGACTGATTGTAGTCGTCACTCCATCTATGTGAAAACTATGAGGTAGAAAGACAAGGCTCAACTACACCCAGGACAGCTGAGTTGCCTTAGGTAGGATTCGAACCCTTGACACTCTTCAGTCTAGGACTCTACCAACTGAGCCACCAAGGCAACTCAGCTGGTAGGGGTTCGAATATACAACACAAGGCAAACCTCAAAGCACTGTGCTATGTCACAGCTCACAGTATACTCTCACATGGTCATCTCGGAGACGTTTCCACTGGGTCCTCTCCAAGATGGTGTGGCTGGAAGATCACTTCTAACTCTGCAGATGAGACTAAACCTCTTGCCTGCTACCGGGACCTTGGAACTCATTTCAATACTGACATCATGAGTGAAATCTATCAGAGAAGAGTATATTATTTGCTTCGATACAGCTAACATGTGCGTGCTCACCTGCTATTTGTATGGTATGAGTGTTTTCAAATTCTAGATCATCAGCCGTGTACACTCTGCAGAGAATATCTTTTCCGTTCAGGCTGTGGGCAGGGGACGAGATTAGTTGCAAGTCTACTGGTGTCGTTGGCAGTTGCGAGTGTCTTGTTAGTTTCAGGAAAAATCATCTCTATTGCCGAAACACCGAGCTCGCGTGTGCTACACACCACTTCATTAGGAATTCCAACAACCATCGGGTCACGCTCAGTTACAATGCTCACAGCTGAATAACAAAAAGGTGAGTAAGCAATGATAGTAAACCACAAATTGGGACATAATTTCACCTTTGAGGTTGAGTGTATAATCAGTTTCTCTTGTAATGGGAGAACTAGTGTTGGGTAGTTGTATTACCACACGGCAGTTATACACTCCATTGTGAGTCTCATTGACTGAGGCAATGGAGAGATTCAGGTGCAGAGAAGCTCCATCATCTACCACTGGAGCCCCTGCTGTGGAGCTCTCCTCAAATGGAGTGTGCCAGGTCACAGTCATGTAGGGAACAAGATGACGATGAAGCTTCTGGGGGACATGAACGCTGCAGGACAGACTGAGGTCTGATAGATACTCTGGATCTGCTGGAGCTTGTATACTCAGTTGTGGCTCAACTGTAGAAACAAGTATGCAATTTGTAGCTACATGAAAAACCATTGTTAAAGACTATACTAATTTCTACCTGTGTTAGACACTTCAATAGCACGTGACACAGCACCAGCTTGGTTTCTGATCAAACACACGTATCTGTGGTTTCCTATGACTCCGTGTATATCATTCAGTATCAAGATGTTGGAATATAGACTAGAACCACGTGATACAACTCGTTGTATCTGCTGATAGGAAGTGTCATCTGCAGAGAGCAAGGTGTTCCCTCTCTTCCATGAAACGTGGGTGGGAGGAAATCCACTTGAATTGCAGACCACCATTCCCAGAGCTGGCTCATGAGCTACCTCAATCAGATCTATATACTCTGGAGGGGACAAGGTTGGTATACCTGCACAGAGACAATCATTTTGATCTTCAGAGGTGAAAGGAAATTGTGAAACCTACGGATAGTAGTCGTGTATACTCCAAAGCTCATATCTCGTACTTGGCCGTTTGGACTGGTCATTCTACAGGTGTATATCCCAACTATAGGGGTATTGTATCGAGAAGTGTAGATATTTATTCCCGATGGACTCTGTCGATTAATTGTGTACGTGCCACTACTATACGAGGAGTATTCCAATCCATTAGGTAGGAGAAGAGTCCCAGTATCAGTAGTAGAGTTAGAGTAACAGCGTACGTATACTCGATAATAACTGCGCCAGGACAGAGCTGTGTTGTTAGCAATGCTCTGTTGGTTAATGCCATAGCTCTCAGACACATAGAGTCCAACACCTGAAATAAAAAAAAAGGAACCTTTATAAGAACAAGGTGCACTTGCTTACCATAGCAGAAAGACTTTGACCCTGGCAGAGGCAGTAGTGCGATCAGTGTCAGTGATAGTGCATGTATGGGTCCAAGAATCATATGCAGTCAATAAAGTTTTTGAGCGCACTGCATTTCTTGCACCATAAGTGAACGATTGTGGGTAGGTGGATGTCCACTGAAAAGCAACAGAATCAGATGCCCCTGTTGCAATACACGACAGTGTTAGAGAGCTCCCAGGACGGTAGTATGGAGGGGAGAGACCAAAGTCTGGAGGAGCCACATATCTCACTTGTATATCCACACTCATGTCTGCAGGTGACAAAATTCAGCGTCCTTATAAGTACATTATAATGTTTACAATTTTCAACCGATTTACCTTTGACATACACGACAGTCTCGTTTTGGTAGGTATACCCAAGAACATCTGTTGCTCGGCACACAAAGGTTGTGTCATTGAGTCCAGTGATACTTGGATCGAGATAGAGTGTCACAGATGATGAACCGTCAGCAGAGGCCAGAGGGATGGTGTACAGTCCCTCCAGGTACCACGCAAGTCGAGCTAACCCAACACTACCCCAAGAACACCGAATGGACCTCGCTTTTCCACTGACCAGTGTGACATCATTTCCAGTTATACTTATCCTTCCTGTAAAGGGGGTGAGAGGTTAAACCATTTAGGGCATTTATCTTCACTTTCTTAATGTGCTATAATATATACAAATGTTGTTTCAGACAACTTACAAACATAGTAATAGCTATACACTTACCTGAAACCATCAAGCTGTAATTCTTTGTCTCGGTGTATGTTTCATTCATGTATTGAATAGAAAACTGACAGGTGTATACTCCATCCATGAAAGATCTTAGAAAATCAAAGGCTAGATTTCTAGAAGAAGTTTCACCGTCTGACGTTTGTTCTCCAACTGCTATTCCGTTCATTCCATCAAGACTGGTTCCATTTGGTCCCCACCACTGAATATGAGCTCTCGAGGCGTATTCAGTAGGCAGTGCAACACTGCTGCACACTAACAGAAGTGCATCTCCATAGAGTGTCTCTGACGGCGTTGTAATAGTTATCACTGGAAAGAAATAGAAAAACATAATTATAGTATAGTTGAGTTTCTTAGGTAGCAAGGTCTACCTTCTCGCTGAAGTATAATATTTGCAGAGTCCTTTCCAAAAGTGTTTTGGATGTGACACGTGTATCGCTGGTTTCCCAGAGCTCCAGCCACCGACCTCACTATCAGAATGTTCCAAAAGTATGAACTAGTGAGATACCCTCTGTTGGCTATCTCCACTGTCTCATACAGGCCATTAAGGGTGTCGACAGTCTCATTGTTTCTAAGCCACGTCACGTTACTGGGGATAGAGTTTCTTGATGGGCACTCGAGGCTCAAAATAGAGTTTGCAGAGCCACTGGAGTACTCATGACTACTGCTGTAGACAACTGGCCGGCCTGGGAAAATGTAACATAAAGATGGATACCACATCTTCTGGTAGCTAATAATGAACGTACCAGGGTTACTGAAGTATAATCCGAAACTATACTGGATCTGATTTCCGTGAGAATCAGGAACCTTGCAGATGTATATCCCTGAAGTTGCCGATCGATAGTTTGTCAAGTGCCTCAATCTGATTCCTGCTGGAGATACTCGTTGTATATTGATGGAGTATAGTAACTCCCCGAGTATGAGTATTGATCTCCATTGTCTGGGGTAGTGATGTAGGTATTAGCAACGGAAGCAGTAGAGTTAGAGTAACAATGAAGGGTCAGTTGACAACTCCTGCATGTGTGGTAAATGGCAGTGTTATTTGGCACTGCTCTGCTTCCGGTATGGTCGGTGATGTGGACACCGGCACCTGTAGGTCAAAAACACCTTGTCAGTGATAACTGAGCAAAGTGATTTGAACACAAGAGTTAGAGGCACGTGAGCAGAACAAAATAGATGCTAGAATCACATATGCAAATTACATGCATGCTAGAATCATAACGGTAAGGTTGGATACAAAAAATATATGCACACACAATTCAGACGATTTGGGAGGTTAGCTTTGCTAGCCGATAATTCGTAAGTTACTGGGTCATACCATAGAGCCTCATTTCAGTTTTAGCACTTCCAGTGTGACTTTCAGCATCAGTTACTGTGCAGGTGTGTACTCCACCGTCACTAGAGCGCAGGATGTCAATGGTTATTTCCCTGGAGGAATTGTTTGAGGTGAAACAACTGGAGCAGGTTGAGGACCAGCTGTAGGTGAGTGGTGGGACCGCATCAGGTGGCGCCACACAGGCTAGGGAGACAGAGCTGGCTGGGACGATAGTAGGGAGGACTTGGGAGATGGAAATCATCCGGTGGAGTGTAGTCAACTTGGATGCTCACATTCAAAACTAGAGAGATAACACTTATAGCATGAATCAGGGGGTTTAAACACAAGGCAAGTGCAAACTTTATTTAAAGGAAAAGGAGCTGCCCTAGATGGGACTCGAACCCGCGCGTTTTCTAGACAAGTGCTCTACCACTGAGCTACCAGGACAACTCAGATGGCTGGGCTCAAAGTCTGCAATAATTATTATAACATAACACATGGAAAGGCAAACCACAAACTCCTTATACTTGGATAAACCCCCATACTCACAAATTTCTAGATTCATTCCCTCTGTAGTCCAGGGAACACCAATAACAGACAAATCGTCAATGTCTCTTGGTTTGATCTCAGCAATGCAGGTGTAGAAACCTGCGTCACTGAACGAAACAGAGTTAATGAGCAAAATGGACTTGTACACGAAACTCGTGCTCCTGTCCTCTCTCATAGTTATCCTGTTGTTCCCATATATTGGTGTCGGGGCATTCCACCGCATCCCAACTCTGACAGGCGTGTCCACTTCTTGAGCGAGGCTCACCTCACAGGTAATTGAGAGTCGACTGCTCGGGTACACATCAGTAGGATTGAATGCGATCAACGTGACAGGCTGAGGAACTGCACGTAAAAGTATAATTTAACATAAAAAACTCTTTCCTCTAGTAATCTCACTCTGAATTGCAAGCAGGTGTTCTGCAGCCATTTTCTGTGCTGACGATATCCCTCCCACACTGGCTACACAAGTGTAGACTCCTCCATGGGATGTGTGAAGTGACTGGAACAAAAGACTAAGCTCTCCGTCCACCAACTCTAGAGACACATGTGGATTGTTAGTTGTTACTCTGTCTCCCCTGGGGTCAGTCCAGGTCAGGGTGGGTAGCACATCACTGACTGCAGAGCAAGTCATTCGTAGCTCTTCTCCAGCCGTTGGAGACGAGGAAGACAACTCTATACTCACATTCTTTATGATTAGACCTGCGGCAATGGAAAAACTAAATTTGTGATGGTTGAGATAACAACCCTTATTTCGCAGCTTTAATATAGCGGTAAATGCTCAATACCCAAGGCCATAGCAGAATAAACATAATTGAGTTTGAGCCTAAAATTTGTTGCTGACTTTAGGCAGACGCAGGTATATACTAGAACACAGAAAGATTTAAAAAACACTACGTAGTGCAGCACAACTGTGTAACTGCACACGTGAGCAATAAGGGTTGCTTTCTCAGAGCCTATACATCACCTATACTGATACACAATAATATTGTAGAAAGTACCATGTACCCACCGTGTATGATGAGTGGTTCTGGTACTTGCTGGAGGCCAGAACTGCTCTGAATCCAGCACGCAAGTGTTTCCATGTCCCAAGTCTCGTTAGTCAGTGTCAGTGGAGCAATTCTGTAGTTCCCAATAAAGAGCCACTCCATCTGTGAGAGAGGGGCACCACTCCACACACAAACCAGGCCATCAACTGCATGGTGTGCCTCAGTGAGCTCCTGCTCAGACTCGTAGATTGTGATGTTTTCTGAGTAAAACAGGAACATTACGTATATAAGAGACTTAATGCAATGCCATGTCTTACGTTTGAGTGTCAGGTGAAATTCTGCGGAATTAACTGAGGGTTTATCGGTTGCATTCAGTGTGACAACGCAAGAATACACTCCAGTTTGGCTGTATTTTGTTCCGTTTATGGTCAATGTGCTGACAACTCCATGGGTATTGTGACGTCGAGTACTGATAGTGATGCCATTCTCTTCTGTCAAGCCAAGTCCCATGGGGCCCACCCACTCAGTAGTGATGTAGGGCATGAGTTGAGCCGTAGCCTTCGGGGGATCCGTGTATCCTCGGCACAAGAGGGTAATTGTTTCACCTTTACGACCAGAATGAGGAGTCACTTCCATACTAGCCTTTGGCATAACTGTAAAGAAATAATCAAAACCTCAACTCATGATTAACACACATAGATCTTAACACACCTGGAATGTCAATGGCTACACTGTGATAAGTGGATCCACCGATGTTTTCTATTTCACATGTGAAAGTGTGGTTCCCCATGATTTCTAAGATGCTATGGACGAGCAGAATATTCCGATAGTGAGAATTAATCCTGTCGACAGCCACTTGCAGAGTGCTGTAGTCACTGCTCCTTACATCAACCTCTACTCCGTCTCTCTTCCACGTGACTATAGTTGGTGGTGAACTCATTGTGTAGCACTCTACTGTAGCAAAGACCGACGAGTCATCAGGATCCATTGTCAAGTCATTGTAGCCACTCTCCAACACATTGATTCTAGGTGGCCCTAAACATGGAGCGCTCATTTATGAATCTGTTTGATATTTTGCAAGTGAAGCTTACCCACTGTTCCACTGTATAAACCAATAGTAGTCTCCATAGTATTCCCATTGGAGTCAGGCAGCCTGCATGTAAAGAGACCAGTGATGGGTTGTGAGTTGGACACCTGCACTCGGAGTGTTGAGAAAGGCAGTCTCTCAACCAAAAGCTGACTGCTATCAGTATCATGATGAGTAGTGCCGTCTGGAAGAATTAATTCTCCTACTCCGGATGACGTAGAGTTGGAGAAGCAGTAGAACACAACTGGACAGTTCAAACATGACCCAGGATGGTAGAGAACGGCAGAATTGTTTGCCACGATCACATCCTCATGATCATAACTCTCGGCAACATACACCATAATTTCTTCAGAAAAAATGCAAAAAAACACACATGTTACAGTTAAAAGTTAATGCACTTTGGATACCTTTAAACATCATTGTGAGACTTGCATGACCAGAGTTTCCGTAAGCATCAGTCACAGTGCAAGTGTGGACACCGGCATCAGCCGCCGAGAGAAGTCTCTTCCTGTTGAACATGGCACTGCTGTTGTAGGCAAAGAACGCAGTGCTTGTTGACGACCAGTGATAGGTAACTGGACCAGTCATATTCTCAACATGACAGATGAGAGTTGCCGTGGAGCCGAGGCGGTAATTGATTGATGGTCTGCCTCCAGGATCAGTTAGAACAGAAATTTCAACTTCGAGTGAGCCGTTTGCTGTACAAATAAATACCGTACACATTAGTTACCATCACAATGTTGCAGCTCTGTGCAAGGAGCGATGTGAAAACTCCAAAGGAATAATAATTATTTCACTAGAGAAAAGCAAACAAAGACAGATGGAACATTTTAAATCAGTGACTCTTAGCACGGTTTGCTAGTTCTGCACCATTGCATTGTCCTTCAAAGGATAATGGATCTTGCTGAGGTAGGACCTTTATTGTTGCAACCTGCGTTATAGCTACTGCTACATCACATGAAATTCAACAGGGCCACCCTTACATAATGTACTCCACTGCAGCTACCAACTTCAGCAAAAGTCACAATGTTGGTCAAACTTCAGCAAAATACAACAATGCAGGTACCTATCTCAGCGAGATCCATGACAATGCGGTGGTGCTGAACACGCAAATCTTACTAAGAGTGCTTATGAATAACAAGCTGTCATTGGTTCAAGTAAGAAACTACACACAAGCTTGAAAGATTATCGTGAAAACTCCAAATGAATAATATTTCACTAGAGTTAAAGCAAGACGTGCACGGTTTGCTAGTTCTGCAGTATTGCATTGTCCTTCAAAGGACAATGGATCTTGCTGAGGTATAGGACCTTTATTGTTGTGATCTTTGCAACCCGCATTATAGCTACTAGCTACATCACATGAAATTCAACAGGGCCACCCTTACATAATGTACTCCACTGCAGCTACCAACTTCAGCAAAAATCACAATGTTGCTTCAATAATGCAGGTACCTATCTCAGCGAGATCCATGACAATGCGGTAGTGCTGAGCACGTAAATCTTACTAAGAGTGCTTATGATTAACAAGCTGTCGTTGGTTCAAGTAAGAAACTACACACAAGCTGGAAAGATTATCTCTTGCATGCTAATCTTATGTCTTGAAATGCCTTGCTATACCAGTGTGCAATGAATTAAACAATCTGCGTTGGTAAGTGAGTCTTTTATCATAATAATATCTACAATAACACAAACTTGCACAAATTATAGCTACCTCTAGAGTATGTTGCCAACCTGCCTCCACTTGGAATGATAGCATCATCAGGATGTAGATTACAGATATACTGCAGAGCTCCATCCTGCTTGACGCACCTGTATACTTCCTAGTGGCCCAACTTCTCTTCAACAAGTGACGACGTAGTTCGCCAAACCCAGCGCACACCGAAGTGCACGCACATTATGCGCGAACGCTCTGCGCGTGTAGAGCGCGCGCACGCCCAGCACGTGAGCGTAGCTGTTGCCCTAATTTGAGTGTCTATACGTGCATGGTATACTCTTCTTCGCAGTGACCACTGTTTAATGAAAAGCACTGAAGTGCAAACCCTCGGCACACTGTGACGCGCACGCGTAAGTAAACGCATGCGCCGTACCACTAATTGTTGGGCTGGGTTTAGTTTTAGCTGTTACTCGTGGTCTCTTGCCAGCTCGCGCAGAGTCTGACGCGGGCTAATTACACTCCTAGATAGCATGCGAGAGGCGATACACGCCCTGCGTTGCATCTTCTGGTGCCTCCGAAGTACGCAGAGCACGACCGCGGTAAGCCATCCCGTCCGTTGCGTATTTGCATATTAGCTTTTTCGCGCTCTAGCTTTGCAAAGGAGCAGTTTCAGAGAAAACCCCACATATTTTCTGACCTTCATTGCCCGTTAAGTAGGTCGTATCCTTTGTGAGACGAACGAACACACGAGAAGTGAGATGACGAGTAACAGACAGACACACAAACCCAATGAAAAGCACTAACGTGCAAACCCTCGGCGAACTGGGCTTGCGCGGTACCGCTAATTGATGGGCTGGGCTGTTATTAGTAGCCGTATACTCGTGGTCTCCCGCTAGTAGCTCGCAGAGAGTCTGAAACGGGCTAGCTACAGTAGTAGATAGCATGCGGGAGTCGATACACGCCCTTAGTTGTGACTTCTCGTGCCTTCAAGGTACGCAGAGCAAGCGGACCCGAGCCTGTTGAAAATCTAAACGCATGCGCATTTTCCGCAGCGATAAAAATGGCCGACTAGCATTAGCCGTACTATGGCGGAAGCACTCTAGCTTTGCAACGAAGCATTTTCAGAGAAAACCGTTCGTAATTTCTGCGCGCCGAGGGTAACTACTGTAACCCTCGCTGCGCATGCGCGCCGAGGGTTAATAAACGAATGCAGAAACAAGTACAAATGAAGGAATATAGGGATGGCTTAAAACAACAAGGGGCGGGTTACATATTATTGTGTAGACTCATAGGAAAATGAGATGGTGTCATGTAGTTTTTGTGTCTTTGCTCTAACCACATTTTCTTCTTTCTTTTTTCCTGTTTTAAAGCTATTTTCACTTGGAGAATTGTGCCAGTGAAAAGTTGGAGATAATTAACATTGCCTGCGTGTTATGGTCAGTGTGCTATATTAGGTGCTCTGGTAGACTAGAGCCGTGAAATTCCTGCATAAAAATCTCTACCAATATACAATTCTGCATACACAAGTTATCAAGCTACTCACTCACCGAAAATGTTTTCCTATAATTCACACTAACCTACAGTTTTTCCTTACAAAAGTACTAAAATCAGTTTTTTCCATGAAGTTGCACATCACGCAAATCCCAAAAGAAACTTGTTTTGCCTCACGTAGCAGCAGTTCCTGAGAGGCTGACATCTTTGGACTATGTTACTCAACAACCAAAGCAGCATAACAACATGAGGTAGAGTCAAACAGACAGTCAGGAAAATCTCCAAAGTGAACGAGTTCAAAAAATAATCCTGAATCCAGAGAGCCAGAGTGAGGCCTACAAGGGCCATCATGATGAAATGAAACGATAGGGAAGCATTCATTGCTTTTGTTTTACATGGTCTAAAGTATAAGACACAAAATGAGAGACAGAGAAAAATAGGTAGCAAGATGATGAAGTACGTTTCAGGTAAGTTGGTAAAGAAATTAGCCAGGAAGAAAGGTGTTGCAGCAATAAAACTGAAACTAAGTGGATAAATTCTCCTCCAGTCTCTGCCACCATCCAGTCCATCTCTGTATCCACTGGAAATAGTGTCCACAAATATTGCCAGAGCTAGTCTCTTTCTCGGCCCACAACAACGTGCCAAGAGGTTCTGAAAGTGTCGACTCGGGTGCAGGCAGAGTACCAGGGTTGGAATCAGAACAAAGATAAATATGGGAACATAAGCGGCAACGGCGTAAGGAGCATGTTGGCTACTTAGTGCTTCTATCGAGGGTTCAAAGGTGAGAACTTTCTTCACCAATGTTCCGTTCATATTGTACACCTTCCTAGCAGACAGGAGCTGAACGGATATAGCAATAACCTTAGCGACAAAAAGGGCGGTGAAAGTTGCCAGTGCATGGATGGCGGAATCACTTAAGCTCCAGTCTCTCCGAAATCTGACAAGGGAAAACATCATGATCCTGCAGAATCTCACAGAAGAAAGTTTACTCTTTAAATCCAGTGAATCGATGAGAAAACCAAGAAATACAAGAATAAAAATATATAAAACTGACAGATATTGAATTAGGAGACCAAAAACGTAATTAAAACCACAACCATAGCAAAGATGAGGCATGAACATGGCAAAAAAATTTATATTCCAAATGCCTGCAAGAGGGAGCAATACCATGGTGTTCCAAACAGGTACATAACTTTCTGAACTGGCAAGTAAAAACCTCCAAATATTTGGATAAATATGAACTGCATTGATGTGACACTGACAAAATAATACATAACCAAGCAATGGACCGGACACGACATTGATCCTTAATTTCATTATGTTTAGATAGAAAATAGTAAGAGGAAGTATTTCTGATGCTAGGAAGAGAAAAAGAGATGCAGGATTTTGAAGGCAGTTGTTGCAATCAACGCACTTCCCACTGAAAGTATGGAGAGTAGGTGCAAAACCTTTCTTGCATCCACCACAAAACACTCCCTCCCTGTTGTTGAGCTCACATTCATCAAAAGATAAATTATAGGGACTCGGGGGTAGTGCAGAGAAGACTCGATCAGTGACTGAGGTACTGCGGCTTCTCTTAAACTTACACAAACTTGTGAGCACAGTCTGTGAGTGACTATCCCACGAAACACAGACATCAAATCTTGCATACACCGAGCTATTCTCTGCCTCACTGCACTTTATGGTGCCCATGATATCATGGCCACATTGACACACACACCAGAAAAGTAGTTGAACCACTTCCAAGTAGGACACTGGGCGACATCTTCACTGGCACAAACTGACTCTCAGTCTCACAACCTGCTAAGAGTAGACCAGGCCTGCAAAAACAAGTTCATGGCCCGCTAGATAGTCTGAAACCTGTAGCTAGTTAGACTGGGCTCGCCCCTTGTTTTAAGGCAGCTTCAAAACAGTGAAAATGTGTTTTTGTCCTTCGGTATGGAGGGTGAATAGTGGCAAAAAAACACTTTTTTGTTTTCATGTCAGTTGTACTATTTTTCATAGTGATTATGTATTTTACAAATCGTGTGTCACTGGTTTGGATGGTGAAATTCTATATCTGAATGTGTTATCATTTGGATGGTGAAATTCTATGCCTGAATGCACACTCGTTTGGATGGTGAAATTCTATGCCTGATGCACACTCATTGGATGGTGAAATTCTGAAATCCTGACAGAGCCTAGAGTCTGATAAAATGCACACAGAAATAGAATAGCTTTCATCCTTAAAGACGCTTGTCATTCTGCCTGCAAATCTGTTCACTCCACTTTTCGTCTCTGGAACTTTGTTTTTCTACAACTAGAGGGGCACGCCAGCACACTTTATGAGTGCTGGAGCATGTCAGTACATACACTTTATCAGTGAAAAGTTGTCCTTACACAAACACTGAAAGTAAAAACAGGCTGCCATTCCGCCTCATATTACATTTCACACCCAATATAATAGGATTTGAGTTTTAATTTTATAAGTCACTCTACATAAATTATTGTGATATTGTGTATTATGATACATGACACCATCCCTATATCTTCGTCTCATATTAAACAAACAAAGATATAGGGATGGTGTCATGTAGCTTTGCGCATCTATGCTGTGTAATGACCCCTTGTTCCTTCCTTTTTGGTGCTTCAAGCCATCCCTATATCCCCCTTCATTTTGAAGAAATGAATTTTCCACACGTTTATTTTTAACGCTTATGACAACACTGTATTTCCAGTCACTCTGATGTTCATGGGTATGTTGTAGAACTGATGAAAGCAGTGGCTAATGGCTGCTCTATATACGGGGTGTATGCCTAGTGTCTCCAACAAGGACGCAATTAGCTTGTGGCACATGGAGGTGGTTTCATGGGCAGGTTTCAGTAATCAGACTACAATGATAGCTTTAACCTGGGGAACAAAGAATGAAGCTGGCGAAGCCCGCGTAACACGGCGCAGACTGCCAAGTTGCTCCTCGTGCAAACCAACACGGCTAGCCTGCAGTTAGAAATGTGTATACTGACTTGCAGAAGGCACTGGAGGATGAGAGTAGTTTTCTCTGAAGGCATCCCAGTCCTGGCTTAGTCTCGTTCGTGGGACGAGACAAAATGCGCGCTCGCACCGCATTGGAAACGCCCTCCTCGGCGCATGCGGCTCACTGATGCTGAGTTAGCAGCAAATGGCGTTGTTCAGTGACTACCGAGGAAGAGCTCAACGATCTACCGTAGTGACTTGCGGCAAGAAAGAAACGATCGCTTGATGTCCATGCACACCTTCGGCAAATTGGGAGACGTTCTGTGGAAGAAAAAACAACGCTTCAACTGCTTCCGGTAAGGAGATAGCGGGTCTGAAGAAGAAAAGAAGATGAATAATTATGACGATGATGATGACACGAAATCGCGTAAGAGCGAGTTCTCTCGTGGGGAACTGAGGGCACGTAGGAAGTCTTGGGGTATGTGTATAGCTAGGTATTGGCCTCTACACTATTGCTAGTGATTTTGAAGCCATCGTGAGTCATTCTCCCCGAGTTTTGAGGCGTTTTGTACGCGGATCGCGCGAGATTTGACCCGCGCCATCCCTATATAGGGCGTCTACCGACGATCTAAAATTATGTGGACAACTGGCAGGGATCATGAGTGAACTGGTTTGTGGCTCAGTGTACTTCTTAGCCATCTAAATGTCTAAATCATTTCGGACTAGAATTTTAACTTAACTACTCGTGCCTTATAGCTACACGTAACTCCTTGGCTATAACCTGAAACATACTGAATAACTCCCCTGAGATATGACACTGCAATAAATTTATTAGTTTAACATGTATACTCACGACAGCTGAGCATGCACGCCACCACTAAAATCGTGACTGAGATTAGCCTAAATTGGTATTGCCTCTAGGGAGTTTCTGTCTGCTTTACCTTTGCACATAAGAGTGGAGCTGTTTAATCAAATGACATAGTGGGAGTTTCCTAGACTTCCCAAGAAATGTCTCAGTGGATTAACACCCCTAGACCTCGGGCGTCATCACACAATTCAATGTCTGTGCCCTCATAGGGTCTACAGTAGCAAGGCTTATGGCACTAAAGGCATGCACTAGAATCACCCACAGAATCTCTGACTTGTGACTAATTATTAATTATTCATCTTGCTTGAGGTGCAGCACTGAATGTTTGCTGGGGTAGAGGATTGATGAATTATGTGCAGTGGCCTCTCCAGGAGTCACTGCGTGGAGTGAATTTTAGGTTACTTTGCCCATAGCTAGCTAGTATTGTGTTCATAATGCTGAAATCAGGTGAACTAGCATAATCAAGGCTGTAAGGCAGACATGGAGCTAACATTCCTACAAACTCAACACCAATGCTCTAAGGATAATAGAAGGACCAAGATGGGCAAGTATACGTGACAAACTCCCTGTCATCAATGCTTCCTGTGAGCCGTAGAATCAGATTTTGCTGAGTTAGGTTGTTGTAGGGAGTCTTAGTACGCATTCTTACACGGAACGAAATTTGAAGAATGAGATCAATGACAACAGCTCCCACAGTTGGGACGCACCTACGGCTCACAGCGGTGTATAAAAAGAGACCGTGCTATGTGTCAGAATCACACTTTACTCGCAGTCCCCACTGCACTTATTAGCAGCTTCCAGTCAATCTCTTGATAGTTTAATTACAACTTCTGCTGTTACCTTTCGAGTACTGGCCACTTTAACTGCAGTGGTAATTTTTAGCGGTAGTGGCAGCATTATTCATCTGCAGACATGGGAATACTGGCGATATGTTGCTTAGAATGGAGGGGGAAGTGGAGTATGAAGTGGATGAGGAAGTTAAGGGGGCAAAATGACGACAGACAAAGGAGCTTTGCTGCTACAAACAGTATGCGTAGGTCTCCTTCCCCCTTGCTCTACAGTTACGCAAAGAATGATAATACCGATGGTTCTCATCCCGGACAAGGAGAAGAAACCAGTTACTCCAATACGGTTCCTGCAAGCAGCTCTGCCACAAAAGAGGCCCTGTCTATCAGTGCTGAAGAAATGGCAGCTGGTGAAGATCAGACCCTCCCCCATCTCCATGGTGACAGACAAGCATCTGATTTCTCTGGTTATGTCACCTCCGGAAACACGGCACTGTCCGACCACCCTGCAGAAACGATCTCTGCAAGCCAGCCGATAGGTTCCTTCTCTCTCTCTCCAAGTCATCCTACGACTACAGGTGATAGTGCTTATGGTATGGCAATCCCAAGCCCTCGCAGTAGGGGAGATAGTGGTTATGGTAGTGCAAACCCAAGCCTTCTTCCAACTGATGATGGTAGTGCCACCCTAAATCATCGTACTATCGGTTATGGTGTTAGTATTGGTGATGATGTTAGTGCCACCCAAAGCGTCGACGCACTGGTGATGATGTTATGTTAGTGCCACCCAGTTTCATTTTAGTTCCAAAGCCGTCGACCCACTGGTGATGATGGTTATGTTAGTGCCACCCCAAGCCGTCGACCCACTGGTGATGTTGGTGATGTTAGTGCCACCCCAAGCCGTCGTAGCACTAGTGACAGTAGTTATCACAGTTGCATTTCAAGCCGTCTCCCTACTGGTGATGATGGTTATGTTAGTGCCACCCCAAGCCGTCGACCAACTGGTGATAGTCACCGGAGTGATTCCCCAGACATTAGTATGGAGAAACACTCTCACAGTGCTTTTCTAAAACCAAAGAGCAGGGATAGTGGCTCATCCAGGCCCCTCTCGGTTCCCGTTCATGGTTCAGATCCCAATGAACTGCCGTACAGTTTCAATGACAGCAACTGCACGATCGCTGAATCACACACCGAGCAGCGTCCACAGACCTGGGTTCAGGTCATGGAACAGATAGGAGAGGCATTTCCCACAGTACCTGAAATTCATATTGTCTCCCCAAACAACAAGCCAATACTAGAAAGTTTTGAGGAGTGTACTTCGCAAATGATGACTCCAACCTCCAACCACACCGATGTAATAAGTAAGGGTATAAAGTTCACAAATGAGGCCAATGACTTCAGTCTGGAGATCCCAGAGGGAGCCATTCCTGAGGGAGAGAGACTTGATATGGGGGTGACTCTTTCTGGCCCATTCCAGTTCCCAGAAGGTCTGAGACCTGTGTCTCCGATGTTCTTGGTCTGTGTTCAGGGTAATCCAAACTTCCAGTTCTCCAAAGCAGTGTTTGTCACAGTCACCATCCCTCACTTCCTTAACCTTATGAACGATGACGACATCACGTCTCTGGGTCTCACTTTCCTCAAAGCAGACCACAACAAGAACTCTGTGGGTCTGTACGAGTTCCACAAAGCAGACGGACAAATGATCTTTGAACCTCATAAGAGATTTGGTGTTCTTCACACAACTCACTTCTGCTCTCTCTGTATCGCCTGCATAGACAATCTGCAGAGTCTTGAGAAGACAGCATTCTGCATCACTGCCGTGCTACCAAACACCGCCATCCCAGTTGGCAGGAAGGTTTACGGCTATTTCTTCTTGACATTGAACCTAGGGACATGTCTCAGGAGACTGGACGAGATAATAAAAGGAATGAACTTAGTCAGATATGATGTGAAGAGGGATTTGTTTGAGTTTGAGGCTACTAAATCATCGGAAGAGCCAACACTAGAGATGACCATTACTCAACCAGAGCATGGAAGAATTGGTGAAAATGGATCCAAGACTGTAAGTTCATGATTCAGTCTGTGGCAATATGAGAGTGAATTGTATTTCAGGTCCAATGTAAAGATATTGACTTCTTCATTCGAGAGTCAGATAAGAAAAAGCTTTTGGCAGAGATTATGATCAAAGAAAATGCCGGGTTATACCCTCCAAGGATTAGTGTGTTTTTTGCTTCTACACCAGCCAATACTACTCTGAGTGGTGGTAGGATCGAGTTCAAAGGTGCCACAAAAAGCCTCTCATATGACATTTTTCTGGCTCCAGGTAAGAATACAGAATTTTTGTGATTAATAATGAACCTTTCTTAGATGCAGAAGATCGTGTACAGAAAAAGCCATCGGAACTTGGTAGAGTTATCCAAAACCGGACACTCAGTAAGACAATTATCAGCGTCCCATCCAATTATGTAACTATACTATTGTTGCAGAAATTGGTGATCTTTTTGAAGTCAAAACCAATGTAATCGATGTAGCAGGGAGATGGAGAGATATTGGACTAGCTCTGGGTATTAAGAATCCCAACCTAGACACAATTAAAAAGGAGTCTCTGTCTAACATTGAGGAATGTCTCACGAGTATGCTGACACTGTGGCTGAATCAGTTATACGACACACAGGGGTGTGGAATGCCGACGTGGCAGAGACTGAGTGAGGCTGTCGGTCACAACTGTGGTGGGAGAAATGCTGCTTTAGCT